TAGGGTTCTGACCCGCCCTGAAATGTCTTCCTTTTACAAAAAAAATCTTATTTACGATTTACCATCATTTCAATACACAGATTCGATCAATTTTTGGTCATTTTTAATAAATATAAAATACATTTTTGAATAAGACAAAGACGTCGATAATCATAGTATCAGTTTTTTTTTATATTTAGAACATTGGTGAACGTCTGCCGTAATCATCGTATGGTGTATCATCATGTATCATCTTCCATTGATTTTTACTACTTTTATTACGACCTGAAGAGGCTATATAGATGACCAGGTATCCAGGTTGAACACTCGAGTGTTCTAAATAATCTAAACATAGACACATTAATATTTATTTATATGTCTATGGTTCTAAATGTACATTAAATTTGAGACCAAGGCTAGGTTCACACGAAGAGCGTTTACAATTATGAATGCAGCTGTATTATAAGTTATAACGCTCGTTTACAGCTTTCCGGCGTAAACTTCGCGTTACCTCGCGTTGCCATTCATCCTGTACACATTTTTAAACGCGCGTTTAACAGCTCTCATGTGAACTAGCCCTAACTATAATTAGCAAAAAATAATATAAATTATTTACTCAGGTAAAACCCTAACCGAACTAAAATCCTGCGTACGCTACTGGATTTATATGTAAATATGTAATACAACATGTATAATATAGGTACTTCCGTATAATAACTACCTGGTTAGTATGAGTATACGATTATCACAATTAAAATTTATGAATTTTACAATATACACACCTATAACCTATCTGGCTATTTACCTAAATATTGAAATCACTTTATAAATGATGTGATAAAAATAAATAATACCTACCCACTATGGACTATGCCATGGTTGAATTTAGGACAAAAAAACTACAGATGAAAAAGCTACGGATAAAATATCCATCGACAATAAAGTCGCGGATAAAAAGCCACAAACAAAAAAAAAACACAAAATAAGCTATTACAACTTGCATCACTGACGGCATGTTTATAATGCTATACAATGTGTAAGGCCCGTTTAAGTAGGTAAGTCTCGTTGCGTGGGTCCCACTTTCAACTTTTTTTTATACAATATTTTTATGTATAAAAACAATGTCCAAAACAACGTGGAATGTCCATCAGACCACTCTTGACAATGGATATTAATAAGTCATCAAATCGACAACCAATAAGTGAGTGGAACCATCGTTTTTTAAAATCAGTTGATCACATTAACACAATATCGAGCACTATTAGGTAAAAGGGCGTAGGCTACATTTCCATTTTTTTACAGGAACTAAAAAAAAACACTTATAAAATCGAATATCTCATGGATTTTTATGAAAATCAGATGTGTAGTTATAAAAAAATTATTTCGAAAATACAATTACAGAAAAAAAATTTTATTTTTAATATTTTGTAACTTATGTTGCTTACAATAAAATAAATGTTCAAATATAGCTCAATGGTGCTTACACTTTTCACTCTTGGCGCTTATAAGAAACATTTTGTCGTGTTGATTAGTGCATGGCGCTTACACTAGTCCTACACTACTCCATGCAACAAAGTCACTTGCGTATTTTTTTCGAAATTAATGTGACTTATGATCAATTTTGAAGTTATTTAAACGACATGTTGCTTTCACCCAATCTTTAAATGGCAAAATGACATGCTTAGGTTTATATGTTAGATTAGCCATTTTACAGATCGACGAGTCAGAATTAATGAGAAATTTTGATACCAATATCTCATTTTCGCCAAATTTGTCGCTTACGCCGTTTTACCTAATAGAGCCCATTCGGATTCTGTTTGGACAATAATAATATCAAAAAAAGGTGCTCTGCTGTACAGTAGGTTACAAGTGGGTCACTGTATAGTGGATGGTATTAAATTTGAATTCAATGATTTAATAGCATTGTATAAGAAAAACGATTCTGAGCGGAGATGGTATGTCAGTGTAGGTATAAGACATATTAATCATATTATATACTTATCTATGGTATTAAAAAAAATTGACCTATAATAAATTCCAAATTAATCATATCACAATATTCATTAGGTACTTATAACGCGTTATACATCAACAACAAACCTTGATACTATCATAGATATATAATAGTGCACTTTAGAAGTTTCAAGTACCCACGAATAATATTATAAAATCACAACAAAATAACTAAAATAGTTATTCTAGGTTTTTTATTATGTAATTATAAAAATAAACTGTGCTTATGTATTTTTTAGATTTTTTGGTAACAGAATTAACACTACGGGAATCTTGTTTTAAATTTTCAATCCTTATAGGTATAAAAGTTGAACATTTCATAAATTTTTAACTACAAAATAATTATTCAATTTTAAATTTGATAAATTTTGTCAAAATTCGATCTTTAAATACTTATAAAAAAAAATTGTGCCTATGTATTTTTAATATTTTTCAACTGATATTGTAACAATATATCAAGAGCCTTGTATTAAATTTTTACACTTTTTGGACCAACATATAAAACTTTATTGATATTTATAGAAAAAAAAAACTAAAAAAATTGAAAACTGTAATTGTCCGTAAACAGCTCAAAAAAAGTCAAAATATTTTCAAAATTGTATGGTGTATAGGAAATGCCAATATAAATATTCAGTGAAATTTTCATGTATCTACAGTTATTCGTTTTTGAATTACAACAAAATAAAGAAATCCCTACATGAGAAATCGAGTTAATATCCTATGTTGTAAAAATTTGAATTTCAAACGCTCATAAAAATTTAATTTGACTTTCGTATTGACATTTTTTTTTTGATAAAGGTATATAATCTTATAAGGAATCTTGTATTACATTTTAAAATCTTAGATTTAAAAAGAAAAAATTTTATGAATTCTTAACTCAAAATAATTTGCTAATATTCGTGATTTTTCCATATTTTGTCAATTTTTGAACTTTAAATGCTTACAAAAAAAAAACTGTGACTAAGGATTTTTAATATTTTTCATCTGTATTTGAAAAAATATACTAGGAGCCTTCTATTAAATTTTCAAGCTTTCGCAACCAACAAATAAAATTTTATTGATATTTTTAGAAAAAAAACTAAAAAAAAAATGGAAAATGAAAATGTTCTTTAAGGAACGTTGTATTTCATTTTCAAGGTTTTTTACGGATCGAAAAGTTTTGTATCGACAATAGTTATAAACCACTAATAAAACTCGAAATTTTCTTATACCTAAATAGTAATGCTCTTAAGAGTCGCAATATTTCGAAAAGTTATGGTGCATGGGCTTATATTAATTATTATTGATCATTAATTTTCCAATTTCTTACTATTACAAATAACATATTAACATTTTATTTTATATAATTTTATCAATTATTATTTATTATAATCATTGTAACTTTTAGAAAATTGTATTTAACAATATTAAATTGTACAATAAATAAATAATAAATTGTTTTTAATAATATAATATTTTACTAATATATAAATATTGTACCTATCAATAAAGTTGATAGTGGGATGCAATAGCGACAAGAGTACCAGACACTCGGTATAGCAGGCCTACTTCGTGTCTTTTTTTATTTTAATACCTCCACGCCGTTAAGGTTTAAGATAATTTCTAAAAAAATGCCTCTAGTCCTCGTGGACACGGTGGACTGTAGCCTACATGTAGCTAAGTATAAATTAAACCAAGTTTTTACTGTTTTCGTATATACCTATAATAGATATGTATTTTATTAGGGGAAATGTCAATTGAGGGGAGGGGGTGAAACATTCTGCTCGTTGATATATATAGATTTATATTATGAGTATTTCGTATTTCGCGCGGTTTTCTGAGATTAAGTGAAACACAATGAGTCACATTACTAAATTGTTCTATGCTAAAACTTTAAGACATAAAGTCCATTTTAAGCATAGAACTTCTACTACTTATACTAATAGTTACTACTAATATAAATTATAACTTATAAGGTATTCAGGTCTATGATTTGTCTATTGTATTATGATAATAAGTAAAAACATAATTAACTAGGTATTGTCTATTAACATTGAACATTGTATGATATGACATGAATACATGATAAGATAAAATTGCACTATCGAAGGATGGATGCTGTAAAAAAATAATATTGCAACCATAGAGAAGTATATAATATAATGATTGCAACTATAATAACAGATAAGATATTATAATCGCATAAATTACATTGGGTTTATTTTATTGTTATCATCAATCATTTGAGTGTTTTCACTTCGTAAGTACGTAAATAACACTAGTAACACGAACTAGATAAAGATTAATCAGTAGTTACTAGTTAATCACATTAATAATAATAAAAATGAATATATTATTCATAAGTCATAACTCATTTACTCATTCGACATTAGTCATTAGTCATTATTACGTACTGGTAACTAGACAATTAACTACTACTTTAAAAATATAGAAATACTATTTGTATTTCATTTCCTTCAGATACATACAATTATTTCTATACTTATTAGTTATTTCTTAGTTCAAATTTTAATAACAAGAGTTTTTATCTGATGTATAATTTTATTTAAATTAATACAATAGGTACAACACAGTTAAAAAAAATGTCTGACATAACTGAAAATAAAGAGGACAGTAACATAACTTCATCCAGTAATATTATAAAAGAAAATTCACATTCCCGAATTAATACCACAGGTAAATATTTTATATACATACCATTAATATTATTTATATGTATTTTATCTTGATAAAAAATCACGACTTCTTTTTCTTCGTTGACATCTTATAATACTCCAAATTAACAGTAAAATAAGGAGTAATAAAACTATTGCTGATAAAACTATTAATGAAATTTCTGCAAAATTTAAGTATTCTGCAACACAAAAAAGTAGGGCAGGTAAATTATATTGTATTTTTAAAAGTAAATGTTACATTGTTACTAATTAAATTTTCAAGGAGTCTCAGAGAAATTTATTACAAAAAGCTATCACTTTGTCATAGGTTAAAATCAATAGCAAGTTATAGGTCTACCCTATTGAATGTATGAACTTAGTATTATTATTATTATATTTACGTTTTTCTGCATCTATTGTTTTTTTTTGCGTATTTCCTCGTAGGTCTGTGGCAATGATTTCAAATTTTGGAAAACAACATGTTGCCGTATAATATACTATTACTGGTTCTTTAGTCCCGATACTAAACTCACTACGGAACCGTAAATTATTTGGTATTGATGAGATCATAGCTAATCCTAAATTACAAACATTTTAAAACATTAATATCAAATCAATCATTGTAATATCAAATTGTTTTTAAAATGCAATGGCCAATTTGTAAACGCTTCCAAACTGAAAGACTTACATGACGTGTCTTACTTAACTTTTTTTGTTAATTTTATATTGTTATTTAGAATAAGTAAGGATCTACAGATTTTTTTAACATTAGCATTTAAAAATAATAAAAAAAATCTTATTCTTTAATGGATTACCTATAAGAGTATGATATAAAATTCAATTTTCTTAATTATTTTTTAAACATTCACCTGAATTTTCATCTTGAATAGTTACTTCAACATTCCATTTTTCTGATGCACAAGTATGTGGAGTATCTGCAAATCGACAATCCCCATTAAATATATAATCTATTGTAGGGCGTGTAGTATCTCCTGTCTGAAATTATGATATATAATATATCCATTATTCAATAGTTAATGAAAATTTAGATATATACAGAGATATATACTAGATCTTACTAGTTTCCCAATGTAAAAATTAACTTTTATTTCTGCAAATTCTGGATGAACAGAAAATGTAATTTGATCAGTTGATCCTTCTGGTCCTATTACCTCCAAAACTACCATCACATCAAATGGTGGACTATTTGGAGGTAGTATTATACTAAAATATTAAAACATATTTCAGGTATAAAATAAATTAAAGATAGTTTATAATTAAAGTATTATATATATATATAATAAACTAAAGATATTTTGTTAACAACTAAAATTTTAAAGTGTAGATATCTTAAATATTACATTGTAATAAAAATTGTTGACAATAGTAACTTTGTTAAAATTGTTAATAAAAAAATCATTAACGCAATGTAAAAATTATAAATTTAAATAACAAAAAAGCGGGTAAGTGCAGCGGGGTGGAGTATGTCAGCAGTGTTGGAAATTTATCCATTTGGTCCTTGGACAGGATAGTGAATTATCACAGTATTCGTTTTGAATGCAATGATTGCATTCAATAAAAAAGATTCTAAACGAAGGATTAGTGTAAATATTTTAAGCAGTTATTTAAAAATTGTATTCGTTTCTATGGTGATAAACAAAGCGTTAGAAAAAAAGAGCTTAGCAAAAGGTATTTTGGTGGTTTTTCCCTTGTCGTTAAAAATAAGTGAGAAAAATTATTGAGGAAATCAAAAAATGACCTCACTAAAGTACCATCTCGATCCAATTTTCTAAAAGATAAGATACTATAATATGTTGAAATCGAAGCACTCCTTCTAGTAAAAATTTTCTTTACAGGATAAAAAAAAGTAAAAATAAAATAAAAATTTTAAAACCACTAGCTTCCTCGCTCAGCTCAGAATCTAAAAGTCAGTTGATTTTAATTTTAATAAGTGTACATTTGGACCAAATAATATTTGAAATTTAAATATCAGTGTTCAATATTCATTTTTTATTTTACATTAATGTTATTATATCAACTATCCTATTATATTTGTATAATAATAATTATAAATATCACACTTACCTTGTAGGTAAAACTGATCTTATAAGACCCATTTGATCATAACAATTAAAACTATATTCCATAGGTGTCCAATTTGTATTAACAACTCTGAAATATAACTTAACTGTTTCTCCTGAAACTCCCGATAAAACAGAATAAGGAGACAGTTCCAGTCTAAAACTTTTAGCTCCAACCATCAATTCATCTGACCATGATTTATCAGAAGCTTTATCTGTAAAATATGATAATTAATAACATTTAGAGGGCTTCTTATTCGCATTTATAATTGTCACCGTCTAACACATAACATACAAAATGTACGTCAGCAGTTTCAACTTACTAGTTAGCATAAATTTTTATAGTGATTAAATTTAAATGTTAGAAACATAATCTGTGTTTTCTTATTAGATTTTTAAGATATTAAATTTTTAATGTTTGTCAGGAATATGTACAATTGTTCTAATGAGGTTCATAACTGCTTAAAAAATTTAAATATCTTTAAAAAAACAAAAACAAAACCTTAGTGAACATGGAAAATATTGTGTTTTTATTCTATACTCAGTGTTCACTTTTGTATTTGTAGGCAACATGCACATTCTACTTGATTCTTCTAAACTTGGAACAACAAATCGTAAATATTTGTATGTTAAACGTTAGTAAGATGCCAATTTTTATTAACTAACATTTTTTTTTTTTAAATTTCGTAATATACCTATAAAGAGCTTAAAATCAGTTTAAATGGTTTTTAAATTTCTTTGTACTTAAAAATTGAAGTAATTTAAAGTAATGATAATTTATGTGATATGTACTAGAATATTTCAAGTTTCTACCATTAATATTTTTAAATTACTACAAAAGATGGAAAATTTTTTATTATACGTGTGAATATTCAACCACTCATATAAAATGTATGGATTTTAATGTGTCTTTTTAAGCTGGACTTTTTTTTGAAATTTCAGTTTAAACAACTTATGAGGAACCTAATATTAAATAATTTTTAATCTTTCTGACAAGTACATTATTTTATCAACATTTATAGAATAAATTTTAAAAAAAAAAATAGTAAATTTCAAATGTCAATAAATAAAAAATAGCTCAGAGTCAAAATATTAGACAAAATTTAGTCAAATTATACCATGAATATGAACAATTGCGTACATAATACAACTAAATAAGAAAATCAATTTCGTGTTAACTCTGATTTATGTAAAAATGTACGATTTTTGACTAGAATCAATTTTTCTACCAGAAGAGATTTTTAAAGTTTAAGATTAACGCATTTTTACGACATGTTGTAAAACCATACATTTCATCGCCTCAGCTCAGAATATAAAATGTATACAGTCATTCAAAAAAGTAAAAAACTCACAATTATAGCTTAAAATTTTTCTTTTCTTAACGTTTTTTTTTAATAGCTTAAAATTATGTAAATCAAATATTTAAATAAAAGTAATACTTTTTCAATAAAATGAGAGCAAACTGTAAAAGAATCACATTGTATTAATATAATTTATAAAAATGTATTTAAACACGAGCTGTAACTAACTAGTAGGTATACTATATTATATCAAACCATTCTTGTTGTTCAATGTTTGAATATGTACTTTCTAAGTTTATTACGTCAAACTTTAGAGTACCAGTGTTTATGAACGAGTAACTAATACGTAGATATTATTATTATTTAATTGTTTACCTATTAGTTGTTTCATAGTAACGTCATTAATGAAAATTCATACGCACATCTTGGTCAAGGCTATTGTCTTATACTTTTATACATCATCAAACATCATATTTCTATGATTAATAACCCATGATAAAAATATTTTCAAAACAAATTCTTATTGCTATTTGTTATTTAAGATCAATTTTATGTATTAATTATATCAGTCTACCAGTTAAGTTTGCAACATCATGTTCCTTATTAAATATAAGGTTATGTAATATTTTATATCACTAAATTGATCACTTTCATTGTCTAAAGTTTCATCTGTATTATGTACCATAGTTTTTGATGAATTTAAGTATTATAATTTATGATTAAAAACATTTTTATCAAAAAAATAATCTTGTTTAAACTGAATTTAAGGGATATTCCATGTTCAAATAACAAACAATTTTATATTATTTTCATCTTTATCGAATATTATAAACAGTGGTGGCGTGGCGCCAAACCTTTTTTAAACCACTGGGGTAAGCCTTGTTTAAGGGCACCTACCTACCGGCTTTTTATATATATAAGCAGTCACTCATGACCCCCCCCCCCCATCAACTAAAAATGTTCTGGGGTATTTACTCCACTTGCCATGTGTGTTCGGCGCCTCTGATTATAAAATATTAATTTCATAAATTTCAAATGCTTATTTAATAATTCGTCTTTACTCTTTCTAGTTTTTTAAAAACCAATTTATATACATCATTAAAAAAAATGATTAATCCTTTATATTTTAAATAAACTATAAAATAATGACGCATTACATCTTGCATAACAGTTATTATGGCAACTCTTAATACTATGTTGTGGAACTATGTGTGAACACTATCGCATTTTAAAGGTCAATAATTTGTGTTTTTTCTGAGATAACATTATAATAATATGATATATAGCAAACTTTTTTTTTATTTGTTATTGTTTTAAACCCGCGGCGGCACTGGCCATTTGGTAATATATAGAAAACTAATGTAGAATTACTAATAATAATGATTAATTAATTGCTTATCTAAATTTCTATACTTTCAAGCATAAAATGTTTTATAATTTCTCTATTTTTTAATAATAATATTACTTTTAATTTTTCTATTAGTTTAAATTACTTTTTGATTGATTTTGTTCATCATTGGTTTTAATTTCTGAAATTTGATTCACAATTGCTAATGGTTTAGGCATTTTTTCTTTACAATTTTCACATTCACCGTTTTTACACCATACAATTTCTACCTGAAATAAATATTTATTAATATAGATGTATTTTAACAATTACCGTTGTACTATGCTGAAGCTACATTTGTATGGTTTTGTAGAAAAATGTCTTCATCAATAAACACTTGATTTTCTCACCCAAACATAAAAATTGATTTCTTTGAAGGATTCAGAACATCTATAATCTAGAATAATACTTTTGACTTTGTTCTTGTAGTAGATAATCAGTTTTATGGTACTCAGACATCAATTCGTTAAAATTTCTCAGAACTATATTATGAACCATACTCTCTGTAAACAGGAAATGCAACCATTGAGTATAAGTTTTACATAAAATATATCCAGGAAGTTTTCATTTGCTTATTAGTTATTAGTTTTTATGTTATCTAACACATTTTGTTGGATAAAAGGTGCACAAGTTTACAGGATATATGTTGAGTCATAAAAATAAACAATGACTCATTTTAACAAAACGGTCAGAGCAATATAAATAGTTGTAATTCATATTTAAAAGTTTAAATATTTACTTATAATTGTTTTAACTACATTTTTCTAACTTATAGTTAATTTTAAATTCTTGTTAATGATAATTATTTCCCAAATTGTTTTTATATTAGAAGTCTGTTCATTAATATAATATTAATCAAATAATAGGTTTTTTCTTTAGAAATTGCCAACTGGTTCGTGTTTAACAATTAATAGGTATTCTAATAAATAATTTATTTAAATGCTTTAACAAATATTTTTCCTGAGGTCAAACCAAACATTATATTTGAGATGAATGACTGATATTTGGTAGCCAATATTGGTAATAGGCAATAGGTATAACTTTCTGTGAATAAATAGTAATAAAAGATATATACCTATTATTTTTTTTTTTATAGTATAACAATTATTATTGACAATCATAGGTATAGTAATATATACTGGGAAGAGAGCCATGGAGGTCGTTGCCTCCTGACATTTGATTACGTGGACAAATATATCTAAGAAACTATTTATTATATATTAAAACACATTAATTAATTTTTTTAAATCATTATGCTTGAATATTATTTTTTATATGCATTTTATGTATTAACTAATTAGTAATTAAAATATTTTTATTAGGTACACTTTAAGTAATACACATTATATTATGGATAGTTCTACCTATGTATATTTTTAATAATCTTACAATTCTACAAAACTTCAAGGACTGCTATTTAGTGTTTACATATATTAATTTATTATTTGAGGGACAATTAGAAGGGAGTCATCTCCTTTATTATACTTTTAGACATAGTAGGTTATAAATACTTGTATTCTACCCCAAATGTTCATCCCAAGTTATGGCACTATGGACAATTAACAAGTTGACTGCGTACTGATGCCATTTGGTGTCTAATATACATTTAAAATAAATGGTTTAAAATTTCCTACTCGTGGCTGAATGTTATTTTATTATTATTTAGCTTGGATTAAACACATGTTTTTAAATATGTATACATACGTCGTTATGAGCAGTTCCTAATTTTTTTTTTTTTTAATTTTTTTTGTTTTTACTTTTATCATACACACTGGGTTAAAAGTGAAAACTGCCAAAAGACATACGCAGTTTACTTCTTAAGGGAATACCATTTTAATTAATTTAATTTTGGTCAATTTATCCATGAATAACATGAGCAAATATAAGAAAAACTTTTTTATAAATAAAATATTATAGGTATACCTTAACAGCTTCACATATAAAAATGTCCAAGTTATGCAAAATAACATTTTTTTTTTGTATTTATCTTAAAATCATGTTAATACTAGGCTGTATCTATATATAAAATGTCCATTGAGTTTAATAATACTCCCATAAAAAAATTTTTGTTTTTAAGGTAGTTAGAAAAATGTTAAAATGTTTAGGTAGGTATTCAGTGAAGAATAATATTATAACACTTTTTGAACCCCCTCTTCCTCATAATCTTAAATATAGTTATATGACCTCAGTTTTTTATTTATAGATTTCTCTGCTATGTTTTACTATATCCAAATATTCAATAATGATATACTATCACTATGGGTCCCAAATCCTGGTACACATAATAAGTAGTAATAATAATTATTATTAGTGTCTAATATTCTTTTCTATTTTTATGTTTATGTAAAAAGTAAAAACAGTTATTATGTATTATTCTAATAACTTAATTTATTGTTTTTAAATATAGCTTAATATAGAATATACATACCTTCTTTTTCATCTAGTCCATATATAGTCACATAAGTATCATTTGTTATCAAATATCCTGTATTTTCAAAAAAGTTATTCATACATTGTAAAGTTGCTTTTTTCCAATCTGTTAAGATTGTAATATTATTAGCGATTATACAAGGAACTGTACAATATAGTAAAAACAAGTTTAATAAATGCATGATGATACAGTACAGGATCAATAGCTATTGAAGATTGTTTAGACTTATTTTTGCTTATATAACATTTCTATTAATTGTTATCTATGTCAAATATTTATCTATTAAGGATAGGTTTCCTATAGACTATAATTATCTAATATGTATCTTTCCTCATAAAAATTAACCAAATATTTTGTTTGATTTCAGATAAGAATACTGCTAGCCAATTCCAAGAATCTTTAACTTTTTCTCAATTACAACAAAATATTAGTGAAGTAAATTTGGATGAATCCCAATCCCAATGTTTAAGAACTGCAGGTGAAAAACTTAAACAACATCTAAATAGTAGTTGTGGATTTTCTAATCTTGATGAATATAATTCTCATATTGTACCACCAAGGAGATCATTGGGAAATACTCAACATACCATCACTACACCTCTTAGTAGGTTGGTATATTTTTATTATTATTATACATTTATACTACTAATGATCAATCAAAATATTATAGTTTTTATAATTTAAAATGTATTTCAACATTATAAACATTTTTGTATCAATTTAATAATTATTACAGATAATTCTGAATTACCATCAACTAGTAATGTTGTAAACAACCAAAATTATTCAACAGTTACGGAAACATCAAACATGGTTATAAACAAACCATTTAAAACCATGAGTGCTCCAGTAAATATACCTTCATCACAATCACAATCAGAAGTATAATATAGATGATTAAAATAACCATTAATTTAACAAATAATTATGTTGGAAATATAATTACTTTTAGGATTTATTACTATACATATACGAACCTATAAAATGGCATTGGTTCTATTGCAAGTATGCTGATAAAAATAAATGGATGCCATTTAGTCAAAAAGACTCTGATGCTATTGAACAAGCCTTTATTTTAAGTAATATATTATTTAAAATAAAAATATCTTAAGTTGTTTGTATATTAAAAATATTTTAGATGATCAGTGTAATGAATCAATTATAGCAACAGATGGTAGTAGATTTGATGTTTACTTAAATCAAAGAATTCGTAAGCCAGTTTATTGGTCTGATAACACGACTAATGTACGTCGTTGTTCTTGGTTTCTCCGTAATAGTAATGGATCTAATTTTATTCCTTATGATGAAGTCACAGCTACTCTTCTAGAGGTAATAGATATTAGTGCACTATCACTTATTATTAAAGACCGGATTTATATGTTTTTACATATCGTTACTGGGTTTATGCAGTCTTATGAGAGTAAAAAATGTGGACGATTCGTTCAATTCTAAATGCGTAGAAAAAAGTTTTTTTTTGCATATTTGAGAATATTTCATGGGTTGGAGAATATTTAACCCATTTAGCATATTTTGGAATATTTCGTAAATTGTGAGCAAAAATTTGTATTTATTTTTAATTTTAATATTACGGTAGGTACTCTGAAAAATTTTTTTTGATCATTTACAATTTATTTATTATTTTCATTTTGATAAAAATAAAACAAGCAGTATTATCAAGGTTTATCTATGTATATCTACTGATAAGATCAACTTATAAGTTTATCAAATATTCAAATATCAAAATTTTGTTTTAATACTATATACAATATACTGTTATATTTATATTATATTCCAACTTCCTACTCTTGCTAAAGTGCAATATAATATAATACGCAACTCTTAATACCTAATTAATATCTGACTATAAAAATATAGTCGAAAAAAATTTTCAAAAATAAATGCACATTAAAGCATAATATAATGACGTTTTTTGATTATTTTTGCATATTTTTTAAATTTTTGAGAGAATATAATGAGAATATTTGAAGGGTTTTTAGAGAATATTAGCATCATATTTTGGGTATTTTAAGAGAATATAAATCCGGTCTTTACTTATTATAAATATGATATTAATACAATTACTAATTATACTTAGGAAGAATACAAAGCAGCTTGGGACAGTAATGAATGGGGACGTAGAGTTCCAGTTGGTAATTACGAAGAAGTAGTTTTTCATAGTCCTACAGCTATAATCCACAACGGAGTATCTATAACACTTCTAAACAATAGTGAAGAATCTCAAATGGATCAAATAGATCAAGCAGCAAATATAGTAAAATAATAATATTACAAATTAAAAGAATAGTTTTAGAATGCTGTATGATTAAAAATAATTTACAGTCTTCATTAAAACAATGCATAGTCAAACGAGGGTTTGAAGAATTTGTAATTCCTAGTGATGAACCATCAAAAGTGGATCATTTATTATTTATTGTACATGGAATTGGGTCTTACTGTGATTTAAAAATGAGACCAATTTACGAAGTTGGTATGTCATTTTCTTTACTTAAGAAAAATATAAATTAATTAAACTCAAAAAGTAAACTAGGAACTACAATTTTGAGCCGGGTCCTTATGAAGGCAAAGTTTGTGTGCCCCAAAAGTTTGAGTAGTGTGACATCCCAAATCTGTTTCCCCACATAATTTTTGGATGCCAAATATCAGCATTTTGGATCTGACAGGCTAGTGGTCTAAATAAAAAAAAAAAACTGCATGGGGTGGGCCCTGCAGCAGAAAATGTCTTCATCAAAAACTGGCTTTAGAAACTTTTAAAAGAACCCTCACTTAATATATATTTTACAACGGTATATTCATTTTTTTAGTGGATGATTTTCGAAGTTTAGCTCTTCAGTTAACACAGTCACATTTTAAAACATCATGTCAATCAGAAAAAATTGGTAGAATTGAAGTATTACCTGTTTCGTGGCATTTAGCTCTGCATAGTGAAGATATTGATTGTAAGCTCAAAAGAATTACATTGCCATCAATTCCACGTCTCAGGAACTTTAGCAATGACACTATATTGGATGTTTTGTTTTATACAAGTCCCACATTTTGTCAAGTGATTAATTTAAAAAAAAAAAATGTTTTATATTTATTAACAGGTTTATAATTTCAGACTATAATAAACGCTGTTGGAAATGAAATGAATCGAATGTATAGCCAATATCTATTAAGAAATCCAAATTTTAATGGACATGTTTCAATAGGTGGTCATAGTCTTGGATCTTTAATTTCATTTGATTTACTGTGTAATCAACAACCACCAAGTCCAACAAAACAAACTGTAAGTTTGTAGTATACATATATTGTTGGATATAAGGGTGGTTAGTACTTTGTGTTGTCTGTTTTTTTTTTAGGAAAGTCATAATATAAATTCTTTTTGTAATTAAATATTTCAAATAATTATAGTTGTATAAAATATTGAATTTTTATTATGACTTTATAGTTATAAATTAAAAATAAAGCCATCAAGTAGGTGTAACTGGTCTGTTGTGCAGTAGCTGTCGAGTGTACCTCTTTGTTGAATAGGTTACTGCAATGGGTGTGTTAAATATTTGAATTCAATGATAAATCATTGTATATGATGAAAAATTGTACTGAGCCAAGACTATCTTAACTTTTTGGTAACCAAATAATTATTTCAATAATAATATTACTACCAAAGTACCAACTTGATCCAATTTGCTATCAGAAACATTTGAATTTATAATGATGATTTTTCTAATAGAAAAAATGTCATTAGACATAAAAAAAACACATGGTAAAATCAATACATTTACCGCTCTGTTCAGAATCTAAAATATATGTATATAATTATAATATTATTAAATTCAGTTTGCAGTATAATATTATATTCTTAAATAATTGACAACTTATATTTTATTTTATTATAACAGGAATCATCTGTAGCATCGGTTGTTCAAGAGCAAAAGTCTAAATTAAACCGTGGTGCATCATATGTTACATTAGGAAAAGCTGGTACTGGACAACCATATATCACATATCCACAATTAAAATTTGAACTTGATTACTTTTTTGGTTTTGGCTCACCTATTGGTAAATTGTTTAATATTTAAGCACACCATAACTATCTTATTACTAATTTTTATTTTTATTGCATCATTCAGGTATGTTTGTAACAGTGCGAGGTATTGAAAGCTTAGGAGAAAACTTCAAGTTTCCAACTTGTCCCGGATTTCTCAATATTTTTCACCCGTATGACCCAGTTGCCTACCGTATTGAACCATTAATTAACACTGCTTTTGAAAATATACCTCCTTTCCAAGTGCCACATCACAAAGGGCGTAAAAGAATGCATTTAGGTAATTATATATAAACTTATTATGGTATAATTATATTTTAACATATTATACAATATTTAGAACTAAAAGATACTATGGCACATGTGGGAGCAGCTTTAAAGACACATCTTGTAAATTCTGTAAAAAATACATGGAATACTGTTTATCAGTTGGCTATGTTTTCTAAAGCAACTTCAGGTCGTTCGATAGAATACGACCCTAGGATTGTAAGTATATTCACTATTCAATTTGCATAAGTTTTGGTTTTGTAAGGAATATAAAATTTTATTATTCTAATACTGCACTAACAGTATCTTATAATCGAACATTTTATGTTTAATACTCAATTAATCTTTAATACCCATTGACAGATCTCAAATACTTAAAGCTATCTCTTTAAGTTAAAAAAATGTTCTCTGATGTACAGTAGGTTACAAGGGGGTCAGTGTGTAATGGATGGTATTAAATATTAATTCAATGATATAACATCATTGTATAAGAAAAACGATTCAGAGCGGCGACGGTATGTCAGTCTAGGTATAAGACATATTATTATATACATATCTATGGTATTAAAAAAAATTTGACTTATAATAAATTCCAAATTAATCATATCTCAATATCCATTAGGTACTTATAACGCGTTATGCATCAATAACAAACCGTGATACTATCATAAATATATAGTAGTATACTGTAGAAGTTTCAAGTACCCACGAATAATATTATACAATCATTACATAATAACTAAAATAGTTATTCTAGGTTTTTTAATAAGTAATTTCGTCCAAATTTGAACTTAAAATGATTATAAAAATAAACTGTGCTTATGTACTTTTTAGATTTTTGGTAACAGAATTAACTACATACGTGGAATCTTGTTTTAAATTTTCAATCCTTAGATATAAAAGTTGAACATTTTATACATTTTAACTACAAAATAATTATTCAATTTTAAATTTGATACATTTGTCAAAATTCGATCTCTAAATGCTTATAAAAAAAAGTTGTGCCTGTGTATTTTTAATATTTTTTAATTTCTATTGTAACAATATATCAGGAGCCTTGTATCAAATGTTTATACTTTTTTTCCCAACAGATAAAACTTTATTGATATTTATTTATTTATTTTTTCTTTATTAGTAATAAACAATCTGTACCTTTGGGGCACAATACGCTTATGTGACCAAAGTTAAATAATATAACATGCTAGACTTGATGTGAGAAGACATCTAGTAATGACACTCACTAAATGATTTTTTTTATTTATTTTTTATTTTTTTGTTGTTGTTATTTAACAAAGCTGGTAGTGCTCTGTCTATGGATTTCAGATGGGAGGGGGATGAACAAGTAGGTCACGACACCATTTCCTTTTTAGTGGTCTGGGTGGGTTTCCAGGAATAGAAGGGATTGCGAGATTCCGTATTAACGGATTGCTGTTGAATTGCAAGTCGATTGTGGAAGCGTTGATAGTGGGCTGTAGCTTCTTCGTGTATTAATTTTATTTTTAGGTCAAAAAGTGTAAAAATGTAATACAAGGCTCCTGATATATTGTTACAATACCAGTTGAAAAATATTAAAAATACAGAGGCACAACTTTTTTTTATAAGCATTTAGAGATCGAATTTTGACAAATGTATCAAATTTAAAATTGAATAATTATTTTGTAGTTAAAAATGTATAAAATGTTCAACTTTTATACCTAAGAATTGACAATTTAAATATCAATCTTGGGATAACTCTAGATCGCAGATTAACCTGGGCTCAGCATATTAAATCGAAACGACTAAATCTAAACTCTCGATTACGCCTACTCAAAACATTTATTAACAATAATAAATACACTAATATCAACACATAACTGCTCATATATAAATCGTTAATCAAACCAGTCTGGACTTATGGTATTCAGTTATGGGGCAATGCAAAAAAAAACAACTTAAATAAAATACAAGCCTTCCAAAACAGCACTCAGAAAACTTTTAAATGCCCCACCTTATATCTCAAACGACACTATACACTCTGACCTAAAAATAAAATTAATACACGAAGAAGCTACAGCCCACTATCAACGCTTCCACAATCGACTTGCCTCCAACAGCAATCCGTTAATACGGAATCTCGCAATCCCTTCTATTCCTGGAAATCCATCCAGACGTCTAAAAAGGAAATGGTGTCGTGACCTACTTGTTCATCCCCCTCCCATCTGAAATCCATAGACAGAGCACTACCAGCTTTGTTAAATAACAACAACAAAAAAATAAAAAATAAATAAAAAAAATCATTTAGTGAGTGTCATTACTAGATGTCTTCTCACATCAAGTCTAGCATGTTATATTATTTAACTTTGGTCACATAAGCGTATTGTGCCCCAAAGGTACAGATTGTTTATTACTAATAAAGAAAAAATAAATAAATAAATATCAATAAAGTTTTATCTGTTGGGAAAAAAAGTGTAAAAATTTGATACAAGGCTCCTGATATATTGTTACAATAGCAATTGAATAATATTAAAAATACATAGGCATAGTTTTTTTTTTAAGGGGTTTAAAGATCAAATTTTGACAAAATGTATCAAATTTAAAATTGAATAATTATTTTGTAGTTTAAAATTTATAATCCTTTTTTTTTTTTTCGTTTGAACCGACAATTTATAATCCTTAGATATAAGAGATGAACAATCTCTTATATCTAAGGATTGAAAATTTAAAACAAGATACCATGTAAGTAGTTAATTCTGTTACCAAAAAATCTAAAAAATACACAAGCACAGTTTATTTTTATAGGCATTTTAAGTTCAAATTTGGACAAAATTACATATTAAAATCAATATTAACGATTTTAGTTTTTTGTTGTAATTTAAAAATATTATTCAGGGATATATGAAACTGAAAAATCAAAAAATCTAAATGTTATGGCCTATCCATACAATCTACTATAGTATAATGAATAAGAAGTATGCTCTATGATAAGACTGTGCATATTTTTTTTTATTACCATTGAGATATAATATATAATATGTCTTAAACCTAGACCGACATACCGTCTCCGCTCGGAATCGTTTTTCTCATACAATGATATTTTATCATTGTATTCAAATTTAATACCATCCATTATACAGTGACCCACTTGTAACCTACTGTACAGCAGAGCACCTTTTTTTTCTATGAAACTTATTTAAAATGATTGTCCACCCACTTATTGTACTTGTGTTAATATGGATGGCTAACTCCAACACCAAAACCAATTCATAAAAGTACATTAAGATGAGTCTATCAATAAGATACATACACCCACTCTTACACAAAACAGTCACTTCATAAAATTGCTTAACATGCCTCTGCTGCTTAACACACTTCTACTTGATGTCTGATATTGTATAATTGATTAATAATCATTTATATACTTTCTTCATATGCAATCTATTCTTCTATTAGTAAAAATATTTTATTATTATTATTTTCATAAGAAATTAGATCAGAAATCACAAACTCAACAAGCAGATTCTACAAGTGCCTCAAAAGCGTTTCAGAGTACGTCCGAATACCTTAATAACAAACCTGGTATTCTAAACAAAGGAAATAGAATAGATTGTGTTTTACAAGAGGCACCAATTGAAAGTTTTAATGAATACTTATTCGCTGTAGGCAGTCATTTATGTTATTGGTATGTGAATGTTTATTTATCAAGAATATATATTACAGAATGTCCCATGAAGGCTAATATACCCATTAGCCGCCCCGGATAAAAACCAGTTTTTAGCCGTTTTACCTATAAACTAAAAAAATGATTAATGAAAATAAAATATTGAAAAATCAACACTTTCAAAACAATAAAATATTAAATAGCTATCTTTAATTGTTTCAAAAATAAAAATTATATTATTTTTTATTTTTTACAAAAAAATTAAATTAAATAAATAAATAAAACATATTATGTAGTTCTTGTCTCTGTGAGTCTAATAAAAAAAAACATTTTATGATATATTTATTATCTCAGGAGATATCGCAATGGGTAAATCTTCGCGGGCGCTCTATATTTAATTTGATAAATTAATTGTATATTAAGTACAACAATTTAAACATTTGTAGGTATTATCAAACTGTCCATTTTTTAGAGTTTAAATAAACAACATAGTCGACTTTTAATAATTCAAAATAAGTGGAGATTGGTCCCCTGAGAATCTCCCATTAATTCAAAGAAGAACAATGCATTTATATGTGAATCAGATGTTACTAGATGTAACTCATTAATTCAGAGTAAAATTTAGGGTTAAAATTCTGCAACAAGTAACAACTCAATATTACTTTCACTCAATTATTGGCTATTAGAAGTTGTTTCACTGTAGTCTGTGATTGAGTGTTCAAAATTAACATTCTTTCACTCTATTAATCTTTTCTCCCTCAAAAAATTTTCGATAAAAACAATGAAAACCAAGCATTTTCCAGGTATGTTTTTCTGGACCCATTAGACATAATAAAGTACTTTTTTAATTGAATATATAAAAACATAAACTATCTATTTATTAATTATTTATAATATATTTTAAACAAAATATTGAAATAAATGATTGAAAGTGGACCATATTTAAATATTTAAACTTGAACCCATGTAAGACATAATTATGCGGCATTGAATATTCATTCTTTTTTTATTATAAAGTTTATAATTTATTAAACCTAATTTATTATTTTTGTAGGGAATCTGAAGACACTATTTTGTTAGTATTGAAGGAAATTTATTCAATACTTGGAGTATCGCCTGATAATCAAATTCAACATGCTATACTACCATTTGATATCCACGATAGCGAAAAACCTAGTTATCCGACTAGTATGCAATTTGAAGAGCCACCAGGATTTAACATGTCTTTTGGATCATTATCATCACTTTATGATGATAGCTGTTAAGCATAACGCTATTACAGTTATTGGAAAAATAATCTATATAATAGTTTTAGAAATTTTATATTTTATGTAAAAAATTAATTAATTGATATGTGTTTTAATATTTACTGTGATATTTGATATTTATTAGTTTATTAAGTGTACTTAAACTAGGTAGCAATATTAAAAACGTATAAACATATTCAATAAAAATAGTTGTATTGTCTTATTAGGTATTATGTTTTATTATATCACTGTCAAATCACGAATCAATATTAGGCGTATAAGTTATTATGTTTAATTGTTATTATTTAGTTTATTTTATTTTATTATTTTCATTACAGAATTTTTGTAAAATGTTAAAAAATGATTGCTTTCAGAGTCAATGTGTTAACTTATGTTTGTATGCACATGTATTATAATTTTATTAATATATATCATTTGTGTACCCAACTCAACAAACTTATAAGGATTTCTTTTTTTTCAGAAACAATAAAGTTTTTTTACTTAAAAATAATATTCAATTTTATTAAGTAGTCTGTTAAATAAGTGAAAATTTTTCCCAAAAAAATCATGGGCCTTCCTATTCTTTATAGTTCTAATCTACTAATATTTTTGAATTTTGTTATAAAAATAAAAAAGTTTCAATGTTTAATGGTTTCAATGTTCAATAAAAAAATGTATCCAAAAACAACAGTTAGAACTATCAGAACTTGATTTTTTTTTAAAAAAACAAGCATTTTTTTGCCAATTTGTGTCTTTCTCCCTCAAAATCAAATTAAATCAAACATCTCAAAATTATGAGCATGTATGCCTATAAAAAAAATTCTTGTTATGTTCTATAAAAATTCTTAGTAATTGAGTATTATTTTCAACCCCAATTTAGATGAAAAATTGATTCCTAATTTTTTATCTACTGATATAAATAATCATATTTATTTTTACTAAATGATCATTTCAATAAACTTTTCTAAATTATTATGTCCTATCATCTTCTTGTCTAAGTATCTCAAGAACTTTAGGGTCCAATTAATACAGTCATCATATTACTAAAAAGTATACATATGAGAGTGGTTGTTTATGGGAAATAACATTTTTATGGTTGATACTACTGACCCTTTGGGAGAACGGAATTTTAGATTTTCTTCCAACTTAGTTTAATCTAATAAGCTGAAATTTTCAACAATTTTGATTCAAAGAATTGATACAAGAAATGGCCTTACTGAATGTGGTAAATTGTATTCACATTATATTAAAATGGTGTAGGTTAGGCGTCAATAAGGATCATATTCTACACATGCTATTAACAAATGAAAATATAGTAGTTCTTATTTAAAATGCTTGATCTCTGTTTGTCCTAAATATTCAAGTTAAAAAAAAAATTAGAGAAAATAAGTTTTATTTTCAAATTGTAATCATTTATTTTTTTAAATGATTAAAATATTAATTAAATTTGTGGAAATTTAAAATATTATAAATGTTACTACTCAGTTCAAAATTATTATTATTAAAACTTACAAAGTTAAATAAAACAGCCTTAATTTAACAAGTTTCCTACAATTTTTATTTATATATGCCACAATAGTCTTTGGTACAATAACAATTATGTATTAATTATAAAATTGATGATCTAAATATTTTCGATGATGATGATCTTATTTAGATTTAAAATATTTATATTTGAGTTATTCATTAGCAATTAATACTTCCAAAATGGGTGTAATATTAATAGCCATGATTTGCACACATATCACAACATATATAAATAAATAAATTATTTTACTTAAAATATGGTAATTAACAATAATAATATAATAAAAATGTAAATTATATTTTTTCCTTCGTGTCCTTCAATGTTTTCTTTAACAAAAACCAGGGTAGCAATAATAAAATGCCTCCAATACAATATGTAATCCTTGGACCAATAGACCAATATACTAAAATACAAATAAATATTATATCAAATTAAATATAACTCAAATTAAAGAATACTTAAAAGTTATAGAAACTAACATATTGAAGCAAACACTGGTCCAACAGCTCGAGCTAAAGCACCTAAAGAACGGAATGTACCCATAGCTTTGCCTTTATGAGAGGTAGATCCATAATGTGATGCTAATGTAGTCATGCACGGAACAACAATAGAGGTAGCTGAAAAATGAAATGCATTTTATTAAAAAGTCTAATTTAATTACTTGTAGAGACTTAATTAATTCCTTACAAACGGCATAAAGGAATAAACCAAAAATAAAAAGTGGAGGAGATTCAGCCATTCCAACACATATGAACGATGGAGATATGAGTAAAAGTCCCTACAACATTAAATAACATTTATTGAAACAATTTAACACTGATAGTTAAATTTAAAATTAAATTTTTACCAAAGTGGCAGTTTTAGCTGTACGTGCTGGAGGTATTCTTCGAACCCAACCACCCTGTAAAATAGCCATGGTAATACCAATACCAAAAAACATCCAACCTTGTTGCATTGAGGAATATCCAAATTTATTATGTGTCAAAAACGTTAGTGTAAATTCTAAACCAGAATATAGGAATAAATAAGTAAAATAGACAGTACCCAAATTGCGTAACTTCTTAACATCTATAAATTAAAAAAACAAAATAAATACACATATTATTAAATGCAGATAAATTACAGTAATTAAGTTAATAACTATTACCTTCAGATGGAACAACACCATCTAAAAGCTTAAATTTGAATAAATCTATCACATTAATGTATGTAAATGCTTCTGACAATTTTCCAGCAACTGAAGAAGCTCTATTTTTCTAGGAAAATAAAATAAACAAACATTGAAAAAATTATTTCAAATTAATGTATTAAAAAATTTAAAAAAAATTAATTACTTTTGGAAGTGATTCGTTAAATGTGAAAGTTACAAATATTATATTAATAATAGTCAAAACAACTGCAAGTAAAGCAGGTTGAACGAACCAGGCCCCTTCTTGACCATGAGACCATTTGGCATACCCTGCTCCTATCATAGGACCAAATACAAATCCCACTGAAAATGCTATTCCAATCATTGCCTAAAAAGTAACAATTAAACAAATATATAGATATTTATACATGTAATTTTTATAATATTATTTTCATTACATTATTTAAAAAATATTATCTGATAAATTTTTAATTCATGAACAACATAAAATTACAATTCTATACATTTAAACTGTTAATTAAAATAAATAGTCGAAAAAGTTATTTAGAAGGTACCATACTCTTTTCCATCTAAGAGTGAACCGCTTTCGCGCCCGCAGACTGAGCCGCCGAACAGTGCCTGACTCCCCATGCGATGGCTATGCGTTTTGCGATTGGCGGACAATCATTGCCGGCCAAATCAAAGCTCTCACCTATGTCTGGATTATGGTGTGGACGAAAAAACGTGTTTTGGTCAGCCGAGTGGTTCACTCTTCAATGGAACAGAGTATAATTCTATATTTCTATCATCATGCAGTTTTGCATCACTAGTTTCTTATAAAAGTGTAACAATAATATATTATATAATTAATAATTATATTAATCTATTATGTATTTATATATCTATCTATTTGAATGGAAAATTATTTTTAAAAAAAATTGCTTATAATATTATATAATATTTAAACCAGAAATAATTGTAGCTTAGATCGTTTACTTTAAAACCAAATTAAAACATAATTGTTTTTATAGATAAAAATTAAGTTTTAATAAATAACAAAAATATATTTACCATTCCTCTTCCACGCTTTTCTGGTTCATATACATCTGTAACAATAGCCATTGATAAACTAACATTGCCTTTACTGAGACCACCAATAATACGTGACCAAACAAACAAAGAAAATGTTGTTGCTTTTGACCATATTATGTAAGAAGATAAAATGCCTACCTAAAATATGGATTTAATATTACTTCAGGTATAAATATGCAGATAAATAATATAAGACCATTGCAAAGAACTTACCAAACATATAATCATGACTGGTTTACGTCCATAAACATCACTTATTCCACCGAGAATAGGTGATGAAGCAAATTGTAAAAATGAAAACAATGAACCCAGTATACCTATATGATAACATTTTATTATTTAAGTTCCAAGTTATGTTTTTAAACTTAATCGTATTAATTACTTACCGCCAAATAAAACTCCATTAAACTTATCTGGTACACCAATAGTTTTTTGAAAGACACTTATATGTTGTTCCAGCCATTGATACAATCCACCAGAGTCATTTTGTTTATAATAGTCTAGTAATGATGGGAATAGTGGTAATATCATGGTAAATGCCAGTAAATCAAATAATAAAGATATGAACACCACATATCCGGTAGCATTTTGTGAGCTTTTTGTCGCCATATGGACGTTGGATACAAGTTTTAATACAATTCACATTAAATAGTTAATGTGAGTGAATAATTGGATGAAACAAAATATAGTTGCAGTATTATGTATGTATATGTAATAGTTGTTTATTGAGTCAAGTTTTTGTTCGAGTAACACAAAATAAAACTAAAAAGCTAAAAAAAATGGACTTTACACCAGACACCTGTTACATAATGATAATTACACCTACACACCAGTACCACAATCCACAGGTACAAAACGAAATATCTACTTTCACTTTACTACTAGGTACCTATTAATACTAGAAAGTTGTTTATCAGTTTTTAATTGTATTTTACCAAAACTGTTTCGTCAATATAAGAAAAAATAATAGTATTAACACAATGTTTATGAAAAATGCACAAATACATTACAAAATTTTCTATTACATTTTCCAAGAATTCCTAACTTAATAATTTATAGGTAGTTCAATTTCATATTTTTATATTATATTTAATCAAGATTCTTATTTAAAAGTTGAAATGCGCGTTTTAAGATTGATAAGATAAATTTATTCTTTAATCCATGTTTTCCAAACAATTTAGTATTTACTATTTTATGGCTTATCTGCTGTTATCTGATTATAACAATCAATGATTTAAAATTAAAAATTTGAAAAAAATAATCATAAATGTTAAAAGACTTGAAAGTTGAAACTTCAATAATTGACAAAAATTACAAATAACAATTATTAATTTACTATAGCTTGTTCGATGACGACGACGACACATGATTTTAAGCTCTTGTAGTTTGTTGATCACAATACACATTATTTATTGATTAATAATTAATATGTCTATTTTAAGGATGATAAAGTAATAATAATATCTATCTTTTTAATTTATATAAATTAAACAGAAAAACTTATACTGTTACAAACAATTATTCTAGTTTAGTAGAAAATAGAAATGAAAGAATAATATATTCTTAAATTGTATTTATCTTTCAGAACAAAATTTAAGAAATCATGGTATCGTTTTAAAAATTATTTCTTAAATTATGTATATACTCAAAATTTAACCTATGAACATACGTGTGATATATTACTGGAGCCCTTGTTTAAAATTGTTGACAAATACACTGCTATTTTTGGAAAAGTAAGTAATGATTAATATATTAATGAAAAGTAACATTTATTTATTTATAAAATGTTATCTAATTCAAATTATTACTTTTTTTTAGATTATGGTTGTTCTAGTGATTGTATTAACGACATTTGTTGTTGTCGTAGCTTATTGGATTGGTGTACCATATTGGTGGAATAATAATAAACTTTTAACAGTATTCTTGTTAATATTTGGAAATTGGTTATTAATAAATGTTATATTTCATTATTACATGGGAGTCACTACACCACCTGGATTTCCTACTTCAGTATATAATTTTCTTCTGTGTAATAACCAGCTAATAAATAAGAATATTAATTGTTTGTGCATTTTCAGAACTGTTTGATATATAATGATGTAGCCATTTGTAAGAAGTGTGATTCTCCAAAGCCACCTCGTACACACCATTGTTCAATTTGCAACACATGCATCCTCAAAATGGATCATCATTGTCGTATCCTTATATAATATTTAATATACCCATAATATATTACAAATTATTCTTACTATAATTAACTGAATTTATAAAATATAATCTAGTGTCCATTAAATGGTACATTTTGATTAAATTGGTTAAATATATTATAAAAGTGTAATTTGTATAATTGTATGTAAATGTCTACAATGTTTATACCCCCATCAGTGGCCCAACTAGGGCTGAAATGTTGGGGGGCTGTAGCGATACCCCCACACCAACATACATGTGAGCTTAAAAAAATTAAAAAAGTCATGCAAACAAAATCAATAATTTATTTACTCAAGTATTTAATTATACCTTATTTTTTAATATTTATATTATAATTTTCAAACATTAACAATAATATTTTTTGCTTAATACCTTTATATTATATATTATAATATATCCCCGAAATAAAATATTACGTTTCCTAATAATATTTTAATGATATGTAAATAATAATTATTATTAATAGAAGTAGATTTTACAAGTTTTACTTAAGGTAGGTAGAATAGGTAGATACAATATTTAAAACATTATAAAATAAAAAAAAGGTGGGCAAGTGGGTGTCGCTCTGCTGTACAGTAGGTTACAAGTGGGTCACTGTATAATGGATGGTATTAAATTTGAATTCAATGATATAACATCATTGTATAAGAAAAACGATTCTGAGCGGTGACGGTATGTCAGTCTATGTATAAGACATATTATCGATGGCGTAGCGCACAAGTGTGATAAGTGACATTTTTTTGAAAAATGAGTTAAGTGCATAATCAACTTAATCATACAATTCTGCACATTATGCCCAAACGTTGTAAGTGAATAGTTCATTATTTACTCCGATAGATGTCGTACAGTTCGTTACATTTTTGAATTTGCTATGACATCTCATACTTAAAAATCGTTCTCCTGAACAATTACGAAAATGTCACTTATCACACTTGTGCGCTACGCCATCGATATATACAAATCTATGGTATTAAACAAAAAATTGACCTATAATAAATTTATTATACATATAATAAATTCCAAACTAATCATATCACAATATCCATTAGATACTTATAACGCGTTATACATCAACAAAAACCGTGATACTATCATAGATATATAATAGTACACTTTAGAAGTTTCAAGTACCCACGAATAATATTATTCAATCACAACAAAATAACTAAAATCGTAATTCTTGGTTTAAATATGAAATTTTATCTAAATTTGAAATTAAAATGTCTGTAAAAAATAAGTGTGTTTATATATTTTTTAGATTTTTTGGTTACAGTATGAATTATTTAAGAGAATCTTTGTTTTAAATTTTCAACTCTAAGTTATAAAAACTGAACATTTTATAATTTTTTAATTCCAACGATTGATAATTTTTGAGATTTTGATAAATTTTGTCAAAATTCCAACTTTAAATGCTTATAAAAAAAAATCGTGCCCATGTATTTTTAATATTTTTCAACTGATATTGTAACAATATATCAGGAGCCTTGTATTAAATTTTTACACTTTTTGGCCCAACAGATAAAACTTTATTGATATTTATAGAAAAAAAAACTAAAAAAAATTGAAAGCTGTAAATGTCCATAAACAGCTCAAAAAGAGTCAAAATATTTTCAAAATTGTATGGTGTATAGGAAATGCTAATATAAACATTCAGTGAAATTTTCATGTATCTACAGTTATTCGTTTTTGAATTACAACAAAATAAGGAAATCGCTACATGAGAAATCGAGTGAACATCCAATGTTGTAAAAATTTGAATTTCAAACGCTCATAAAAATTTAATTTGACATTCCGGTAGAGATTTTTTTATTGATACAGGTAGACAAACTTATGAGTAATCTTATATTACATTTTCAAATCTTAGATTTTAAAAGAAAAATTTTTACGAATTCTTAACTCAAAATAATTTGCTAATTTTCGTGATTTTTCCATATTTTGTCAATTTTTGAACTTTAAATGCTTATAAAAAAAAATTGTGACTAAGGATTTTTAATATTTTTCATCTGCCTTTGAAACAATATATTAGGAGCCTTCTATTAAATTTTCAAGCTTTCGCAACCAACAAATAAAATTTTATTGATATTTCTAGAAAAAAAACTAAAAAAAAAATGAAAAATGAAAATGTCCCTAAACAGTTCAAAATAAATCAAAATATTTTGAAAATGTTATCGTGTATAGAAAATGCAAATATAAACAACCAGTGAAAATTTCATGTATCTACGGTCATTTGTTTTAAAGTTACACCAATAACCAAATTCGATTTTTTGGAAAATCGATTTTGCGTAAAAATTCCCGTTTTTCCTTAATTTTTATGTTGTTTTTCCCGGCGCTTGTGAAAACTACTGGAAAATGTTTACTTTTGACCCCCCAAAGTACCAACTAGATTCACTTTCCTATCAGAAAAGGTACTATTGAAGAAAATCGAAGCACTTTTACTGTCCCAAAACGTGATGACAGACACAAAAATATAAAAATATAAAAAAAAACATACATCATTGTAAAACCAATACATTCATCGCTCCGCTCAGAATCTAAAATATAAAAATATAAAAACATACATCATTGTAAAACCAATACATTCATCGCTCCGCTCAGAATCTAAAAAAGGTGGGCTAGTGGGTAGGTACCTACCGCTCTTCTGTATACAGTAGGTGTCGTGTGGGCAGGCCCCTCACATCAAATGTTGCCCCCTGTACTAAATGTTTTTATGTTGGCCCTATATAAAATTTCCAATAATAAACAACCCATTATACAAGCGATACGAGTGTATTCTTAACTCAAAATAATTTGCTAATTTTCGTGATTTTTCCATATTTTGTCAATTTTTGAACTTTAAATGCTTATAAAAAAAATTGTGACTAAGGATTTTTAATATTTTTCATCTGCCTTTGAAACAACATATTAGGAGCCTTCTATTAAATTTTCAAGCTTTCGCAACCAACAAATAAAATTTTATTGATATTTCTAGAAAAAAAACTAAAAAAAAATGAAAAATGAAAATGTCCCTAAACAGTTCAAAATAAATCAAAATATTTTGAAAATGTTATCGTGTATAGAAAATGCAAATATAAACAACCAGTGAAAATTTCATGTATCTACGGTCATTTGTTTTAAAGTTACACCAATAACCAAATTCGATTTTTTGGAAAATCGATTTTGCGTAAAAATTCCCGTTTTTCCTTAATTTTTATGTTGTTTTTCCCGGCGCTTGTGAAAACTACTGGAAAATGTTTACTTTTGACCCCCCAAAGTACCAACTAGATTCACTTTCCTATCAGAAAAGGTACTATTGAAGAAAATCGAAGCACTTTTACTGTCCCAAAACGTGATGACAGACACAAAAATATAAATAAAAATATAAAAACATACATCATTGTAAAACCAATACATTCATCGCTCCGCTCAGAATCTAAAATTTCAAATGATTGATACATCAAATAAAATAAACAATTATTAAACAAATACTATAGTCAATGAATGTACCTAATCAGTAATATTTTAAAAGAATTATTAATATATGTTGTTTCACATTGTGATATAAAACAACACAATATTATTATTAATTTTTGAATATTATTTATTATATATTCATTTTTTAATGAAAAGTATACCTATATTATATAAGTATAATAAAATATTTGTAATAAAATATTAATAATGGTATAATTACACTAATTACATTTTAAAAATGCCATGTGGTTGTCAGTAATATTGTATTCTGAAAGTTATTTTTCCCAGGGTCCGGGATTTTTTTCAGGGAATTTTTATTCCGCTATTACCTAACTCTTTCAGTGCATAAGTATACTGTAAAATTATGTGTAATAATATTATCAAATACATAATAATTTATATCATACCGACATAAATTGTTTCCTTAAAACGAATACAAATATACAGCTTATGATATTTACCATAATTATCATAGGTAATATAAAAAACAAGTTTAAATAAAAATCAAAAAAAATAATAATTATTACATTCTTTTCCAAAAAAATAATAATAATAATTACAGTTTAATTTTTAAAGATTTGTAATATTTTAGGAAAGAATTGAATAATTTATTTAGAGGGGGCTATTACAATTTTTTTTTGGGGGGAGATAAGCCCCCCCTAGTTGCGGTTATTGACCCCCATAGTGACTTTATTTTTCTAATGGTAGGATTAGCGTAAACTCCATTACCTCAAATCTTCAACTATTTTAGAAAATATATTTTCAGCACCTTTTTATTTTTATTATTGATTTAAATATAATAAATATGTATACAATAGATGTTTTAAATATTATTAAAATATTTTTCTTAATTTTATTTTAAAGCTTGGATAAACAATTGTGTTGGATTTTATAACCATCGTTACTTTTTTCTCTACATGGTCTACATGACATTAGGTTCGTTATTTTTGATAGCATTTGGAGCTGACATAGTTTTCACAGAAGTTTTCTACAAAGAAGAGGATCCAGTGGGGCATCCAGTTAAAGTCAATACTTCTTTACCAAAAGTAAGGTGAACTTAAATCTTAAGACTATATATGATTTAAAAATATTATTATTTAATATTCAGGCAGATTGGGTTTTAACATTTCAAGATGAATATGAAAACCACAATTTTGATATTGATCATGTGGCAGAATGGAGATTTTGGTGTATTATGGTCATAACTTTTATAACATGTGGTAATTTTTAATCAATTTTAGTTACTATTTATATTTTATACAACAAATTATTTCAGGAGTATTTATCGCGTTAGCTATTTTAACTCTGTGGCATGGTCTATTAATCAGTTATGGTGAAACAAGCATTGAGGGGCATATAAATAAATTTGAAACAGAACGATTGGCAGCTATAAACTTTGAATATGTTAATGTTTATGATTATGGTATGAAAATGAATTGGATTATCTTCCTTGGACTTCATAGTGGAAGGTAAATTTCACAAGTAATAACTGTTTTAATTTCAATTAGAAAAACATATAAATATAACTATATTATGTAAATGTTCAAGTTTAGATAACCCTCATGTATTAAAAGTTTCAAAATGTACGTCATATACAATTGTATTCTTAACTTTAATAGTAGAATGAACTAACTTATAAAACTGGAAAGTAAAAAAATTAGATATTTTAATTTTTATGCTTATGGGCATTTAAAATACTACAGTTCAAAAAAATAACTCGCTTAAAAATTTAAATATTGTAAAATAGTAAATATCAACACGGAAAATGTACCTTCAAATTTGATAATTAACTACAAGCATGTTCTCTGCTGCTAGACTAGGCTTTAGGATGTCCTTATCAATTACCTTTATATTTTAAATATGTAATAAAAAATAATTTGTTCATACAAATTACAAACTAAAATAAACAATTTAATTACTTTTTTTTAGAAATTGGAGACATATTGTATTTCCTTCAACTCATAAACCTATAGGAAACGGATTCATATGGCCAACCAAAAATGATATATGTGAAGTGTTTTATTATTATAAACAGTAAATATGTAATGTAAGTGTTCAATATATTTATGATAATGTAATGTTCTAATTAATAATACATAATGACTAACTTATAAAAAAGCATTGACATGATTCTAAGAGTGGATTGTATTTTAAATCTGAAGCAATAATAAACTAATTGCACATTTAATTATAATTTTAAAAAGTATTAAGTTGTTATTTATAAAGGTAGTGATATACATATTTTAATATGTTATTATTAAGCTTATTTAACATTTGTAATTATATAGAGATTATAGAACAACCTAATTAATAGTATGAAACAAAATGAAAGGAAAATACATTAAATATTTCTATACACTTCAAACATTGCATTTGGAGGACAATATATATTTTAGAATCGTAGCTTTGTGATGAATGTATTTTACTATGATGTGTTGTTTTTTTTTTTTTTTTTAATCTACTTAAGTATCTAAACTGGTAGGAAAGTGAATCTATCTTTAGGAGATCAAAAGTAAAAAATTCTCAGTAGTTTTCATAAGCGTTGGGAAAAACAAATAACTGTAGCATTTTCACAAATGTCTTCATCACTGTGATATAATGCTGCTTACTATGTCAGACAAAATCTAAAGGTTTGCTCACAAACACGGGACAAGGCTAGATTACCATGTAAATCAATTGACAATGTAATTATTATATAACTACAAGGACGTCTGACGTCTTAAGCATCTGAAACCATACAACTTAGTCTAAGATTTTAAATTAAGGCAGGAGTCACTTCAATGGAGTTGACTTTATCAATTTGTAAAGTATATATAATTTATACCTAGTTTGTAACATAATATATACAATAATTGTTAAACATATTTATAAAGACTTTGGGTTATTGACATTTTTTTATGCAATTAAGATTTTTAAATTATCAAAATAGGTATTTCCTAGATCTTTTTTTAAACAGTTTTAAAATTATATAATATATATATTAAAATTGAATGAATATCGTCCAAGTTCAAACAAATTAAGTTGTTGAATAATAGTTATGTTAACAAGACACGAATCACCTGATTTAATAATTTAATCTATCACTCTGATTTTTTTATAATAATAACTATTTATCTATTTTGTTTTACATTGAAAAATTGATTTATACCTTCTCAGTACATGATTACATTGACATGGTAAAAAGTAAAATTTGCGTTATACTGTTGCAATTAATACATTTTTGTTAAGCTCCACAAATACTTAGATACTTAGACTGTCATAATGAAATCCGTGTTTCATTTGAGACTAATTAAATCGAGTTATTCGTGTTTTGTTATATAACTACCTATTAACTACCTAAAGTATATTATTCTAACTAAGTAAACAACTTAATTTTCTTTAATCTGGTCTATTTTCACTTTCGCTCTAAATACATTTTATTCAAAAGTGTTTTAAAAAATAACATCAAGAAAATGGACATCTTGAAAATTTAAAAAACTTAATTGCATACATTTTTTATGAATTTTTGATAAAAAAAATTGCACTTATGCCATTCAATATCAATTAAAATTTGCATACTTAGTACTGTAAAAAAACTGCATTTAAATATATTGTTTTCCATGGACATACTAACTATAAGGGTAGTATTTTTGGGACATACCTGCTGTATTATTATATTTTATATACACATTGACATTTTCAAATGAAATTTTTTCCTCAAAAAATAAATTCAATCTACTGTGCTACTAATGTTTAATAGTAAAAAAAACCACTTTGATAACAGTAATATCATAAAATTGTTACGGAGCAAACATACCACAACAACGAAAACGGTCTTTATCAAGACCAACAAACATAATTAGACAAAAAAGAACGGTTTGACAGACGAAAACCACACCGAACAAAGGTAAACAACAAGACAACGGTGTGCTTTTCATCTGTCAGAACGAAGAACACGGGCCAATGAGCGATGGGCTAGATTGTCGAAGAGGGTATAAATACCGGACACTTTCGACAATCTAGCCAGTCTATTCATTACCTTCAAACCGTCAACAAGTACCTGATCAACAGAAACAAGACGAACAGAAGGACCAGACCAGACCGCAAACCGAATACGCATCCACGGCCGCAGACCGCCACACACCAGCAGCGTCACCGCTCCACGGTGAATAGTCGCATTACCCGACTACGCATCGACGACGCGCCGCTCCACGGCCGCAGACCGCCGCATTCCAGTTGCGCCACCGCTCCACGGTGAATATTCTCACGGACCGACTACACGTCGACGGCACGCCGCTCCACGGCGAAGAGTCATACCGGCCGGCGGCATATCGACGACGCACTGCGCTACGGCAGTGTACATCAACCAATCGCCGAGCACCAACCACGTTACCGTTCCACGACGCGGACCAGCATCGATCGGCAACGCAACAGCGACGATACGACACGCCGTTCCACAGATTCCGACGTCACATTATTAAACGGCCCTTTTCAGGGCCACCACTCACAATACCTCGACACTTACTCAAGTTGTTCGACCCGAGTTTGGTTCACTGTCGGAGTACCGCTTAATCAAGCTTGTACCGACGGCGGCCAACTCCCTGGCCCGTTCAATTTTGTACATAAACAATCAATACTATTCATCACTCTGTAATATAGGATCCGGCACTTGCCCGATCATAAACCAAGCGCCCCCGATTGTGTCGACCCACTTATCAAGTCTGGTCGACACAAATCGACGCTTTACGCTATCCCTATTATAATTAAAATATATTTCATATAGCAATAGAGATCACTGATTACCAATAAATCCAGCGTTCTTTATTTCAAGACGCGGATCGCCCAACCGGGTGCTCCGTATCAACTGGCGCCCAACTAGTGGCTCTCCGACGACACAAGAGACCCATCAAACAATAAAATGAAGTCATTACCAGTTAAGAAAAAACGTCCACCGGACAAGTTAATGTTTAATTATATTAAAAGCAAATGATCTAATAAACAATGAAGACTTCGATACCGCAATAAACAAACACGCAACAATCAACTACGAACGAGTAACGACAGTATATAAATCAGCAAAGTCACAATCAAATTCATACTCATCAATTCAGAATGGCACCAATAATGGCAGTGCACGAACAAGCACTGGATTACGTGAAGAATCAACTGGCACAATATGAGCGTCCAATGAAAAAACACAAAACAGGAAAAGAGCCAACACTGATATGCCACATGAGCAATAATCAACTACGAACAGCTATTTACAAAGCAGCCCAGAAACGAACATGTTTGTTCCGAACGGTTGAAAATTTGTGCTAGATGGTTCCCACCCCGGCACAAATCTGGGGGGGGTTCTGTTACGGAGCAAACATACCACAACAACGAAAACGGTCTTTATCAAGACCAACAAACATAATTAGACAAAAAAGAACGGTTTGACAGACGAAAACCACACCGAACAAAGGTAAACAACAAGACAACGGTGTGCTTTTCATCTGTCAGAACGAAGAACACGGGCCAATGAGCGATGGGCTAGATTGTCGAAGAGGGTATAAATACCGGACACTTTCGACAATCTAGCCAGTGATCATAATCAGTTATACTTCAGTTCACATCCGAACAAGTCCAACACCACTCAACTTGCAGCCAGCCTTCAACAGCAGCTCCTCAAGCAGCCGTACTCACCGCTCTCAACAGGGCATCAGCGCCCACGGTTCACAACCGAACCGTCACCTAAACAGCCGTTTTCACCGCTCTCAACAGGGCATCAGCGCCCACGGTTCACATCCGAACCGTCACCTAAACAGCCGTTCTCACGGCTCTCAACAGGGCACCAGCGCCCACAGCAAGCCGCCGCGGAAGCGACATCTTTACCAACAGCCGTTTTCACCGCTCTCAACAGGGCACCAGCGCCCAAAACAAGCCGCCGCGGAAGCGACGTCGACGTCAACACAAATCAGCCGTTTTCACCGCTCTCCGACAGGGCACCAGCGCCCACAAGTAAGCCGCCGCGGAAGCGACGTCCCTCCGTCAACAGCTGTCGTGGGGCCGCGCCCTCACATTGCCACAGCATCCCATCCCATCCCCTCCCCAACATCCCACACCACCTGAAATGACCAGGAACAACAAGCGTAGGAAGGTCGGAGACCCCCCGACCAAACCACCTCCGAAAATACCAAAACAACGTTCGGCTCCCCCTTCCCCAATACAATCTAACTCCAGTGCTTCCGACTCTGAAACCCTAGACTCTTTTTCCGACTCTAGCACCTCAACCCACCACTCCCTATCATCACTTACTTCCGTACACTCAGTAAACACCTCACTCTCAGCCACTCAAGTTCCGTCCAAAACTCCTTCAGTCTCCAGACCTCCACCCATCATACTGAGTTCCGCTTCCTGGCGGAAGGCCGCGCCCACCATCTATTCAATCCAAAACTTGCAACCGAGCTCTCTTTCAGCAAAATCCTCCGGCGACCGGGTAACCCTACGAGCAGCCGATACTACCCAATTCCGCCTGATCCAAAAGACCCTGTTACACCTGGGAACCGAATTCCACACTTTTTCTCTCCCCGAGGAACGTTCTGTAAAAGTCGTTCTAAAGGGCATTCCGACTGATATATCAACTGACGAACTAAAAGACGAGTTAGTTACTCTAGGTTACTCCGTGAACTACGTCCGCCGCTTTGGCACCCCCGATAAACCTATGCCGATATGTGTAGTGCACATCGCCGCAAATCCGTCTGCTAAGGACATATTTCTTCTCACAAACTTGTTTTACTTGCAAATCTCAGTTGAACCCCTCAAACCCTCCGGCCCGGCCCAGTGCTTTTCATGTCAACGCTTTGGCCATGGTTCACGTAACTGTGGTCATCCGCCGCGATGTGTAAAATGCGCCGGTAACCACAATGCAAACGCCTGTCCAAAAACTCTCGAGCAACCTCCGACATGCTGCAACTGCGGCGGCCAACACACGGCAAACTTTCGTGGCTGCCCCCAATTCATGGCCCAGAAACAGCAGGTATCTCCAACTCCAACCCAAGACTTCGTTCAAAATAAATCCTCACACCCAATCTCAACCCCCCCTCCTCCACCACCTCACCCTAAACAAAACACTACATTGACATACTCCGCAGCAACATCAAAATCAGCGCACTCTTCTTCAAATTCTCCAGTCCCACAACTAAACTTGTCGCTGATACTAAACCTGCTCACCAACCTACTGACTGCAATATCCAATAATCATGATCCGAAAACTCTCATAGAATCAACGATCAAAACATTCCTGTCCATACTCTCGCCCCAAAATGAATAACTTAAAAATCCTATTTTGGAACTCCAACGGTATCAAACACAAACTCAACGAACTACGCTCCCTCGCACTCCTACTGAAAACCGACATAATCTTACTAAATGAAACTCATCTACCACCTTCTTCCAAACTTCACATTCCAAATTTCTTCACATACAGGAATGACCTGCCGCCCGTCCGCGGCTCACCTGCTCACGGCGGCACGGCTGTTCTAATCCACCGACGCATCATTCACCAACCTATAACTCTTAACACACTCATTCAAACCTCTTCTGTCCTCATCCAACTAAACGGCCACGAAGTCCTTGTATCAGCGGTATACAAACCACCAGGTGCAACACTCACGTCTCACGACTTGGACTTGTTGACCCAAAGTGCCGAATGGCAAATCTCTGCAGGTGACTTCAACGCCAAACACCCTCTCTGGTATAGCCACTCGACAAACGCTGCCGGTCGCGTACTTTTTGACCACGTTCAACAATCGGACTATACCATTACTGCTCCCTCATCCCCCACACACTTCCCGACAAACGCCAGATACAGACCTGACATACTTGACATCGCACTCGTTCGACTACCTTATCCTACTCAAATCGACAACCTCAACGAGCTATCTTCTGACCACAACCCTATCCTTCTGGAGACCTTGTGTACTCCGGTATCATCGTCCCCTCCAACGACTAACCGCTTCATTAACTGGACAAAATACAAGACAATTCTATCCAACTTACCAAACCCAACTGAACGACCGACCATCAACAGTGAGTCAATCGATTTGGCAATTGATACTCTCACCAAAAACATACAACACGCGATTGAAGCTAGCGTATTTACCCCTAAACACAAAAACTCTTCCTTTTTACTACCTGACTACATAAAACTTGAAATAACTGAAAAAAACCAATTACGCCGTCAATGGCAAAGAAACCGTGACCCGACTACCAAACGTCAACTTAACGCCAAAATCTCATTAATCAGAACTTTACTCGAAACTCACAAAACTGACCAGTGGGACATTTTTCTTAATTCTCTTGACCATCAGGACGGTTCCATATACAAACTAAACAAATGTCTCCTCCACAAACGTCCTGCATCCCACCCTCTTACCGGCCCCAACGGCCTAGTTTTTCCGGCCATCGACCGAGCCGAGTTGATAGCCGACTCTCTCGAACTCCAATTCCAACCAAACCCTGGTCCCGACCTTCCAGAAGTTTCTGCCCACTCCAACTCGCTTCGAAACATAAATATCACAAAATCTAATTTATTCACCACTCCTGGCACAATCCAAAAAATCATAAACACACTCCGCAAAAAGAAAGCCCCTGGTGACGATCTCATCACCAACACTGCTCTTAAATTCCTACCAAATAACATTCTACTTTCGTTAACACAAATTATAAATTGCTCCCTCAGAATTTGCTACTTTCCACGTGCTTGGAAAAAAGCAGTAATAATTTCCATCCCCAAGCCGGGTAAAGATCACACACTTCCCGAAAATTACCGACCTATCGCTCTACTCTCCTCCATATCAAAAATTTACGAACGAATCATCCTCTCTCACCTTCAAACCAATCTTCGAGACAAAATCCGCCCAGAACAATTTGCCTTCAGACCTGAACACTCTACCACTCTACAACTGACCAAACTTACTCACCAACTTAGTCAGAACTTTAACGACAACGTAAACACCGCCTCCATTTTCCTTGACGTGGAAAAAGCCTTTGACCGGGTCTGGCACGTCGGTCTCCTCTACAAACTGTCCCAACTCAACATCTCGACTGAAATCGTTAAAATCATCGAATCCTTTCTCACTGACCGCACTTTTGTCACAAAAATCGAAGACTCGTTCTCGTCCACCAGACACATACTCGCAGGCGTCCCTCAAGGATCCTGCCTTTCACCTACTCTCTACTTGACTTACATTAACGACATACCAACAACTCCTAAAGCTCACCTCTCACTATTCGCTGACGACACTATGTTCTTTACTTTCGACAAAAACCCGAAACGTGCAGCCATACAATTACAACACCAACTCAACCTAGCTACCACATGGTTTCATCGCTGGAAAATCAAAATAAACCCTACCAAAACAATAGGTATTCTTTTCGGACGTTCCAATACTACTCACATCCCACCACTACTACTCGACAACCATCCAGTGACTTGGTCCAATCATGCCAAATACCTCGGCGTTACAATAGGGCGCAAACTCACCTTCGACAAACACGTTCAAGACATCACCAAAAAAGCCACTCGCGTCCGCGGAATTCTTTACCCCATTCTCAACCGTTCTAGCCCTGTCCCAAAATCTTCAAAGCTCAATATTCTAAAACTCTACGTCTCTCCAATTCTTTCTTATGCTGGCCCCTCTTGGGCTCCTTTCATCGGTCCCTCACATTGGAGACGTATCGAATCTGTCCAAAACATCGGCATTCGCACGATAACGGGTATGCCCACTATCGTTAAAAATTCGGTCCTTCTAAAATCAGCAAATTTCAATTCAATCAAAAATTCTATTCATAACCAATCTAAATCGATGTTCTACAAAAACTCTTTCTCTACTCATTCCCACATCCGACTCTTAGGGAAATCTCACACCCCACCGTCCACAAAGTGTAGAATCAAACCCTACCCTTTGACATGGGCTGACCAACAAATTTAAAACCACCTTCCTAAACTTCCATCCACTAGTAGAGGCAAAAGCCTGGTATAGTTTCACGGCTTAGCCATCCCTCCAAAGCAAAGCAAAGAAATCTAGCCAGTCTATTCATTACCTTCAAACCGTCAACAAGTACCTGATCAACAGAAACAAGACGAACAGAAGGACCAGACCAGACCGCAAACCGAATACGCATCCACGGCCGCAGACCGCCACACACCAGCAGCGTCACCGCTCCACGGTGAATAGTCGCATTACCCGACTACGCATCGACGACGCGCCGCTCCACGGCCGCAGACCGCCGCATTCCAGTTGCGCCACCGCTCCACGGTGAATATTCTCACGGACCGACTACACGTCGACGGCACGCCGCTCCACGGCGAAGAGTCATACCGGCCGGCGGCATATCGACGACGCACTGCGCTACGGCAGTGTACATCAACCAATCGCCGAGCACCAACCACGTTACCGTTCCACGACGCGGACCAGCATCGATCGGCAACGCAACAGCGACGATACGACACGCCGTTCCACAGATTCCGACGTCACATTATTAAACGGCCCTTTTCAGGGCCACCACTCACAATACCTCGACACTTACTCAAGTTGTTCGACCCGAGTTTGGTTCACTGTCGGAGTACCGCTTAATCAAGCTTGTACCGACGGCGGCCAACTCCCTGGCCCGTTCAATTTTGTACATAAACAATCAATACTATTCATCACTCTGTAATATAGGATCCGGCACTTGCCCGATCATAAACCAAGCGCCCCCGATTGTGTCGACCCACTTATCAAGTCTGGTCGACACAAATCGACGCTTTACGCTATCCCTATTATAATTAAAATATATTTCATATAGCAATAGAGATCACTGATTACCAATAAATCCAGCGTTCTTTATTTCAAGACGCGGATCGCCCAACCGGGTGCTCCGTATCAAAATATACTTAGTAATGTAGGCTGAAAAACCGTTTTAGGTCAGAATCGTTTTTTGTGAACAATTATTTTATATCTTTGAATTCAAATTGAACACATTACATTGACCCACACGGCACATAGCATACAGTGAAGGTGCCCACTTGCCCACCTTTTTTTTATTTATTCTTCAAGAAGATAATGGGCCCCACTGAATATGTTTTGAATATAAAATATAAATATTAACATACGTGAATAACATTAAAAATATGAAATTGAATAATATAGTTTTAATTATTTACAAAAATCTTTAATACACATATAAAAATAAGCTATTATTATAATAAATTATTATATGAATATAATATCATAATGCACAAGTTATCTTATTTTTAGGGCCAAACAATTTGTTCTATCCAAGGTAAAAATGCTGAAACTTTAGTGTATACACCTGGTGAATTTTCTGCTGCACACAATTTTCCAAATGATGTTATCCCAATTAAATTGAAAACACATGCATTTTTCTCTGATTTTACTACAAGTGGTCCTCCAGAATCACCCTAAATAGTAAGTAATAGTTCAATTAAAAATATTTATTCATTCAATTTAAATTCTATTGGCTTATGATAATTTAGTATATAATTTCACTTACCAAACAAGTATCATGTCCTCCTGCCAAATCTCCAGCACACAACATAGAATCTATAATACCTCTATTTAGGGATCTTGTTTTGCTTTCTCCTTCATATAATTTACCACATTGCCGATTATTTATTAAATTTAAATCTACTTTTAATAAATGATCACTTGAGCGTTCGCCTAAATCAAATAAATTAATATTTAAAATATTTTTTAAAGAAAAAACTGAAAATATACATAGTATTCAAGTATTGAATGCCTTAAATTACCATATTCAATGCTTCCCCATCCAGTGGCAATAACTTTTTGAGAATAATTGATATTGTCATTATTGTAAAGACACGCTGGGCGAATGTGGTTATTTAACTTAACTTCAGTATCTAAACGTAATAGTGCAATGTCATTATACTTAGATGTTTTAATATAATCAGGATGCACAATGGTTTCCTCCACCAAAAGTTCTACTGGATGAGCTCCATCATTATTAGTCTGTAAATTCAAATCTCCCAATCTCACTCGTTCTGGTAACCCTCTGTCAAACATTATTATTATTAAACTTATATTTTGGCATAATATGTATAAACACATATTGTAGAAAAAGTATACTTGTATAATTCTAAAAATTCAATATTGATAATGATTTGTATAATTTATTTAATTGCCAGTTGGTAAGTGTTAACACCAAATAAGTTATGAACTTACAATGTGCTATGCGTACAATGAGCAGCTGTCAACACAAATTGTTCACTAATTAATGTACCACCACAATTCCATGAAGTTCCAGAGCCTGCTCGGAATCCTACTGCCACCTACAAATTATATCATTGTAAATGTATGTTCAAATTGTATTATTTCAGCCACATTATACCATATGTGGGAATTCTCCTAAATCGGCTTTAGTTCCACCAACAATTAACCCAACACTTTTTGAATCACATTTTTCTATTGACACTGGCTTTGTTGCTGTGCCAATTGACAGAGGTAATACAGAAACAGTTGTTCTCAGTGTTTTTGAATATTCTTCGCATTCTGTAATAAAAATTATTATTTAATGCCTATCATTATTTTTGCTAGCCTAAATTCAATTTTACTTTTTTCACTGATACGTTTACTATTTTCATTTGGGCTATTTTCATATTCATAATATTTTTTGGTTGTGGTTGTAAATGTTGTGTCAGTTAAATCATCAGGAAACAATATACTGCTACTAGTCTTATGATTAGTATTTTGACTTGGCCTCTTATTTTCTTCATAACCACTATTATTGATTTGACTGTTTGGAAGCGGTGAATTATTTTCATTATTCCCTGAGCTATAAATATGCTGTGGTTTTTTAGTGGTTGTATAATAATTAGGTTTGTTATTTTGATTTGATTCGTATATTTCTTGGTGTGGTTGATTAACATATTGATAATAATTCGGTCTTTGGGATACAGAACTTTGGTATTTATTGTTATTTTGAATTTGTGGATATGTTTCATAGTATGGTTGATTGAAATTATTATTTTGATTCTGACTTAAAGGCCTCTGTGTTTCATAATTAGGATAATTGTAATAATTTTGAGGTATATTAGTAGTTTGGTCCCTGTCATACATGATATTTTCATTGTTTGAATTTGGTTTATTATTACTGCTATAAGACCCGTATTCATTTGTAGGACTAATAGGTGTAGGTCTATTTTTGTTAGGTTTAATAACTACACCTTGTTCATAGTTTTGATAAGGTCTATCTTCAATAAATTCCATAGTATTTGAACTTTGATGGAAAACATTACCTACGAAATTGGGAGTGTTTTGTTTTTGATGATTAAAAAAATTTATATTTGCGATTGGATTTGGTTGTAATACAGGTGCATGAAAGAAGTCAGGATTAAAACCTAATGGAGGTTGTATTGATCGATCCTCTTTTTGATCGTTACTTGAAACAATATGTTTGTTTCTTAAAACATTTTTAGCACAACAAATAATAGTCTGTTTAGCATTACATATAGCTCCTAAATCAGTATCTCTTTGACATTTGCTTCTATATTGACAAAATCCAACAATACCATTTTTGTTTGTACATTCATCACCAATTTCTGTAAATAATAAATTATACACATCACTGTATTAGTTTATCACATATATACGTATAAACATAATCCATTTGCATTTAAAACTTTAAAAGAACAAAGCTGAAGTAAATTCTTTATCATAATATGTAATTAATTATTACGTTAATTAATTGTTTGTTATTTCTATAAGAATTTTAAAAAATGAGTTACAAATATGAAAAAATAAATTTTAGGGGACCTTCAGATATTTACATACTTTTCTGCATATTGAACTTTTTTTAAAATTGTAAATTATTTAGATAGGTAACTTATCATGTATAATTAAACGTATTTATTGTAGACTGTACTAACACAGAATATTATGTTCAATTTGTTTTGTTTTTACCCCCGAAATTGCTCATAATAAGTACCTATAAGAGGATTATTATCAAAATAGCACCCACCACAAAAAAAATCCTAGATCCTCTACTGTTTCAACAGTTTATTAAATAATGTACTATTGTTATTCAATAATATGATCAATCTGGTAAGCTTTAGGCTTAAGTATAACTATTCGGAAGATACCAGATATTGGTAATCATTTGTCAATTATTATCTATATATTATTTAAATATGTTCTCAACAAAATAAAATAAGTCTTGAGACTTCATTTTACATTTTCAAGTATATATTCTTTACAACAACTGTACATGTAATATACTAATATTAATATTATAATAAGTTATTACATTAAGACTTGCCATTATTAAATTCTGAACTGAAAGAGGTTATTTAGTTACTGGTTAGGTCTAGGCGAGTAGTTGTATAGACATACCAATTATAATATTAGGTATAATATTATTATACACTACAAATATCTAAATTATACGTTATATCTACGTACATAAATAATGTACGGAAAGATCTGAAAATCAAATTCATTTTTTTCAGTCTAATAAAGTAATAAACGTCTATTTATATCCTAGACTCACAATGCCTCCACATAGATTATATAAGTAGATTTGATATTGACGTCATAATATAGACACTACCGGGTAGACCCACTGAAGTGTTTAATATATATTATGACATCGTACATCAAGGGGCCCCCTATCATCCTCCCTTTTTTAATATAAGAATTAGTTGCAATCAAAGCACCTACATATAATGCAATGTTAAATCATTTATTTTTACGTTTGGATGTAAATTTTGGATTTACAGCGGAATCCTCTGCAGTACCTTACATCCCTACGGTGGGCTAAACATCTAAAGAATCTACTATGACATATGTCAGATAAATTAGGACATTAGGTGGTTGGCGCCACAGCCCCATGGTACTCTCTTGCAGTTGTGTATTCCGTAACTAGTAATAAATAATGCAGGTAACGCATACGTATACAACTTGGCACGACCACATGATGGTCTAATCATGATTCCATAATAATTTGAATCAACTATGCTTATACCACTCACTAAGATAAAATTCTATCTTAGCCCGTGGTTTGTACAAAATAATTAATATTCTTGTAATTATTTTATTGTAGGTATTTATATAAATTAACGCCATTCGGATTTTTAAAAACAGTAGTATATTACAAAATTTACAATTTTAACAATATAATAAAGTCAAACTGTACCTACCTATTGGAACATTATATTTACGTGATAGAATAGTGTATTAGTGTGGCTTTGCTACCAAATACCAATGGTTATTGGTTGATATTAGGTAAGGATATTAATATCTATTATGAGAGAAATTTTTTGCGAAATTGAACCGATTTACTGGTAAGTATTAGGACTTCTGAAGTTCTGAAGTCTGTTGTTAGTGTGTTACCTATATAGGCTATAAGACAAAAATACGAATGCAAATTCGCTCTAACAAGTGTGGTGCATCAATGTGAGATAATGACCTTCAGTTATTAATCTCCGAGTGAAGTTAACACAAAATCAGATGCGACATTTGGATAATGGTTTGAGACTATTATATTTATTATGAGCTACCTATGTATGGTAAAAATTAAACCCAAACTTATTGTATGCAGTATACGTAATTTAATAAATGCGTATTATAGTAGTTTTTATGAAAACCATTATAATTGTATACCTATTAAACTAAATTAGCATATAAATGGACTTGTTGTTCTATAAACTCGAATAATTATAACCACTGGAATGCAGTTAATGGCGTATAATATTAAAATGTAGGTAGCTATAGGTAATAGGTATATCCGTATAATATATAGACATCAACACTATTATGTTGTTATATATTGTGACACTTAATAGCTGCTTGAGTTAACGTATCTAAAAACTAACAGTTAAAAATAAAGACAAACGAACATCGAAATACGGTCCGCGACCTCTTTAGACGATGCATGATTAATAGATTTTTCACAAAACATTTAATTTTTTAGTTGTTCCTAAAAATTTCAGTGTTTTATATTAAAGCTTTTTTCAGTTATTGTGATCCTAAAAAAGTAAAAAGGTGTTCAGAAAAATCTCTTGTAGGTATTAATGGTTTATTTCCGTGTATTTTCGTATATTTTACTTTGTACAAGTAATTTTAGAATTTTTCCAGTGCTTTTGGGGAGCACCTACAATGTAACCACCAGCTTTTAATTAAACCAAAAACCTTAACCTTTTTTAGCCTCCGAGATTTGGTAAAAATAATTTTTTGAATGCGATAGGTTGTGTTAAAATTAAAAATATTAATATGTCTATAGGTATACCATGTGTTCGTCTGGCCCACGTGACTATCGCTGGGGGTCCTTGTATATTTTTTATAAATCGGGGGACCTAGCTAAATGGGAAAAAAATTAAGTTTACTCTTGATTCCCAAGAATTCTTTTTTATGTCATACATTACAGTTATATACTTATATATTAATAATATTATGATTTATGATTATATAAGAGCCTCCCTTGAAAAAATAAATTCTAAAATAGTCATTTTGTAGAGTTATTAGTATTACCTAATTTATAATATGGAAAAAAACAATTTTGAAATCGGTTGAATTTTGAATAAATAAAAGCAACTTTGAAAAACCTGCAAAAAAAATGTTAAGCGTTTTTTGAAATAAAATATGATCTATGATATAGACATATAGTCCGATACAGCGTGTCCCGCGAGGATTTACCCATTGCGATCTCCTGAGAAAATAAATATATCATAAATCTGTTTTTTTTTATTAGACTCGCAGAGACAATGACTACACGTCATATTTTATTCCTTAATTTAATTACATTTTTTGGCAAAAAGATTTTAAAAAATGATTTTTTTATTTTTGAAATAATTAAAGATATCCATTTTATAGTAATTTTGACTTTTCAACATTTTATTTTCATTAATCTCATGATTTTTTAGTTTATAGTTAAAACAGCAAAAAAACCGGTTGTCCGGGCGGCGAGTCCCCCTTTACGGCTAATATGGGTATATCCTCACGGGACCCTCTAATATAATATCGGAGATGAGTGAAACAAGACAATGTCTTTGTATCTAATTTTTTTAGATTCTATAAGCAGTTGTTCTAATTAGAGGGAGCAATGTAATATGTAACTTATTAGCTTTAAACAATTTTAATTGTTTTGGTATTTATTTATTTTTAAGTTAAAATATTTATTGATAAAAATTATTTTTAACAGCTTGTTAAAATAATTTTAATATTTTATTAGATATATCATAAAATTCTCACCAACAAATAGATAATATGTATACGCTATATTATTTCCTGGGTGAATCATTTATCGAAAATTTGCAACTATATACTATACACTTCTGTATCCTAGATATATTATAAATATAATACATTACAGGAAATTGTGTGATTGATTTTATTTTATTTTTAAAAATTTTTTCGCAGTTGGGTATAGGTACTATATACGCAAATGGGAAATCCCGTTTTTACCAAATGATAGGTATACCAAACATTCCTGTTTATATTTTTTACTTTAATTATTCAATTTTCATAATGCTCATATAAACATTTTGATTTTTAATTATATTTACCTTTATATCTTATATAAATATAGATCTTAGCCTAATTACAATATTGACATTATTATCTAAATTTAAAACAAAATGTTTAGCAAGATTATAATATAGCTATTAGCTATTTACATCATCGCATAACCCTACGCATATAATATGACAGGTATGAACTATGAACCCTTCTCATTAATAATTTACATCAAAACGGCAAAGTGAATCATATCAGGAGAATCAGTAATTGCATTTTGAATTCGCCACTAATGTAAACATTAAACAATTTGTTGAAACTTGAAATCCTACTTAGATATGGATATTTACGAGTTACGTCATAATATTAGCCTATATACTTAGTCCAAATAAAACCATTTCTGGGAGATTTAATTGATTAAAAAATATTATTAAAGCAAAAGCCACAAAATTAATAAATGTAAACAGTCACAAGCGATAATATGGATATACAATATTTGGGAAAATAATGCGGTATGTTGAACATTTTCTAACCGCAATATATAATTTTAATTTCAATAAACTAATTATAATCGTGGTTGAAATTTGTTGAGTAATCAATAAATTAACAGTTACTAATTTGTTTTATCCCAATAATTAGGCTGAGAGGAGAGTGAGTGTCGATGTGTCTTGGATAACTATAAATGGTATCCCGTCATTTCGTCGTGGTAATTTCGTCGCGCGTCAATTCGTCGCGGTCATTTGGTCGCACGACAATTGGACGCATACGACATTTCGTCGCGTGTAATATCGACGCATGCTATATTTGGTCGCGCGTCATTTAATCGCATATATTTATATAGGTATTTAGCTAGTATTAGATAAAATAGATTACCTTGTCTTTTTGGGTAGGAACATTTAATAATATAATATATTTAATAATTCTATAGTATCTTTATAATTTAGTGGTAGTGGTGTAGTACCTACCTTCTTTATTATTTATTTTTATTTCAGTAGGTAATTCATTATTTGGTTTTTACGTGAGTCTTTATCGAATATTCGAATTATTACAGTGTACCTACTCATCAGTCATCACGAGTCTCTACTCTCTGCCGATTATAGTGTTATACAGTACCACCTATACACGTCTACGTATATATACGTCTTGCTTGGTCCACGCAATATAACAATTAGGTACTATATATTTTACAAAATATAAAAATTATGCCTTTACAATTTATAAAAAGTCAACGAGGGCATGATTTTTTAATTCATGAGGTGAAAAAATACCAATATACTAGCTGATCCCCTGCACTTCGTTTCCCGTTAAATGTACCAACTCTATATGACTCAAACATTGTTCAATGCGTTATTTAATATTCGGTGTATGATGTTATAGATTTATCTTAACTTTTCTGTTGCCCGGAATAAAAATTCTGTTTCGCAGCAGTATATTATCAGGTAGGCAATCTACCCGTGGTAGATCGTGGACCCCGTGCTGTTTGTACGTAAGTGTATGATTTAACTCAAAAAGTACCAAAGTTATACCAAGTTTAACGTTTTTACTTAATTCCACCTACCTATAAATCCTAACCTAACCTAACCGTACTAAAATCCGATGAATAAAAAAAACCAAATTTAACCCTATTTAAATTAGGGTATCTTCTTCCCATAGGTCTAATCTACACACAATCATTCATTCATATATAAGATATATTGACAAAAAATAATAATACAAATCAACAAACATGCCCGATTAACCAATAGCAACCAATATAATATAATACACCATAGAGTAAATAAAGACAACGGTATCGAGTTCAAATCCCAGACATCAATAAATAGTTTTTGCAGTTTTTCTAATTATTCGGTTGACATTTTAAAAATTTTTTTCGTAAAAACTCGCTCCCCGACATTCTCTATCATTTAAAAAAGATTTGAGCAAAATCGGCCCAGCCGTTCTCAACTGATGCAATTTCGAATTTTTTGTCTCCATTTTTATATATATAGATATAACAATAAGCTAAAATGACTGATATGTAAAATTATCATTATTATTTAGAATATACCTATATGCGATAAAATGACGCACGACCAAATGTAGCATGCGTCGATATTACACGCGACGAAATGTCGTATGCGTCCAATTGTCTTGCGACCAATTGACCGCGACGAATTGACGTGCGACAAAATTACCGCGACGAAATGACGTATATCCACTATAAATATAGATACGATCAGGGACGCATCTAGATTCTAAGGGAGCCTAGGGGCCCAGGCCCTCCCAGACATGATTTTTTTTATAATTCTATGGATCATGATCCTACATATTCCAATCACAGATATGTATGATAATATAATATATTATACATATCTGTGGACTGTGATCCAATATTGTGTAATATAAAAATATTTAAATTTAGAATAAAGTGTATATTTTAATTGTATTTGTGTTTTAAACAAATTGTTGCCCTTCCAGATCTTTGCTATGGATCGGTGCCTGCTTCCTATAATAATATAATAGAACAATAATAAGCTATACCTAATAGGTACTTATCAAATCGCTTCTGTGTAGGTAATAGGTATATAATATATTAATATGCTCAACGTATATGTGTGTATATGTGTTTGTGCGCATTCAACAATATATTGTATATCAGTTCAATATAATAATATAATATGATGATAATACATAGATGATAGATATTTAACTTCATAAATGTCTTAGAAATTATTAGTTCATTTTCCAACTAAAGTTATAGGTAATATAATTTTGAAATTGAAAAATATATATAGAATATAATATGATGATAATACAGATTTCATAGGTATTACATTTGATAAATGTCTTAGAAATTTGTAATTACAATTTCATTTTTCGATTAAAGTTATAATATAGTTTCAAAATTAAAAAATATTCTTCACGCGACGTACCTTGCTCAAGTGCCTGACAATAATTCACAAAAATCAAAAAACTGATAGTTTTCCAGATATGTATACAACGCATATTATTATGTTCGTTACTCGTACAAAAACAATGATAACATATAAACTGAGTTATATTTATGTGTGTGTAGTATAATTTTAAAATATGTACCTATACTGCACTTCGACACCACTAGTTTGCCGACTTATACAACGAGACTAACGATGACCATTTGCAATAAATTGATATCGAATAAACAAAATGGACAGAAATCCATACTGGTTTCCCCCCTTAAATTATTTCATACATTTTAAGTGAGGATATTCATTTATACTGGATTCCCTACCACCTGTTTATAAACGACGATAGCGTGCATTAAGGCCTGTTATAATATAGGAAATGAATTATCTAATTTTTGGAAAAACCTTGAATATTTTTTTTTTTTTTTTTTTTTTTTTTTATTGAACAAACATAATATATTTACAATCTGTATTTACAAGTGATACAATAAGTAAATGGGATGATTTTTGGTAAACAGGAGGGGGAAGTCACCCAGTGGCGGCACCCCGATTAACCTTGAATATTAATCATCATAAGACATAATAACATGCACAATATTATGTTTATTTTCAGAAAAATTAGATTTAAATACAAAAGTATATAAAAACATACATATATATAATGCTGTATTGTGTTTATTTTATGTAAATAATAACTAAATAATAATATGCACTTATTATTATTTGCTAAAATGCTAAAAAAAGAAAAATATCGTCTGTAATGTAAATAACACATGCTTATACAATTTATACCACTTACAGACCTAAGAGGGTACAACAGGTAAAAGCGTATAATGCAATTTATTCTTCGGACTTCTTGTTACTTGTAAAACAAGTTAATGCACCTAAGGTATAAAATATTGGCATCAGATTTCTACAGTGGTCGTTAAAAAGCTAAATTTCACAAAAATACACACAAGAACTTGTATAAAATATGAGACATTTTATCAAGAATTATTTTTGACGTCAGTGTATTTAACACGCAATTCAGAAATTAAGATAGCTATTTAAAAAAATGTCTACAATCCGCATATGATGTATAGTTGTATACAAATATACAATATAATAGGACAATGATAAAGTTTTCGAACTTATGTTTGTGAAAAGCTTCATGATCACGCAAAATTAATATATATTGACCGTTTGAGTGTTTAGTTCATATTATATTACTTGTAAAATGTATAAAAATAATAATAAACCAGTTGGTCCGTGCGCAGTACTGCGTACAATTACTGAGGCGTGATAAAATTGTAACTGATATAGTATGTTACTATATGTTCCTGAGGTTTGTGGAAAAAATTATTTTTCGTTTGTTATATTAGCAAAAATGTGTTTGTTAGATGCGCTCATTGAGTATCCAGGTCCCAGGACCGGCTCAAGCGAAAATAGTGAACTAGGCAAAATCAAATTTAACTAACAACAATATAATATTATCAGTATCTTGAAAATGCCGTCCTCTTACTAAAGTGCTACTTAAGTGCCGCCCTAGGCGTGGGCCTATGTCGTCTACCCCTTGAGCCGGGCCTGTGCGTATCCCTTAAACACGGTGGCCCATGGTGTTGGAGAGTTGCGTATCCGTTAGATACGTTGGTCAATAGTGAATTTTTGTTTCATTTTTAACGAAGTAGGGAATTTCTACGAAAAGTGATTGAGCGATGTCAGAAGCGGAAGCAATAACGCATCGTTCGGTGTGTGAATTATTGAATATGGGGCAGTATTCGTTGAGAAAAACGGACGTTGACACCAGAAATAATATATATATATTATGATTGTCTCAATTATAAAACAAAATTATTCTGAGCGTAATATTTTTGTGCAGTTGTGACTTGTGGATAGTAATTTTATTTCGCTTAGACACATGTATAAACATAAGCAAAAAACGATAAAAAAAATTATGCATTTATAAATTTATAATCCAAAAAATCGGGCAAGTGGGTAACGCTCTGCTGTACATTAGATACATATCTACAGAAGTCACTGTAATAGATGGTGTTAAATTTGAATTCACTGATACGGTAGCTGGTGAGTTGAATTAATTATTATTTACATATCATCTTATTTGCATATAATAATATACTTTAGAAGTTTAAAGTACCCACAGGCCACGAATAATATTTTTAAATTCGTTATATTATTGGTTATTTAATATGTAATTTCATCCAAATTTAAACTTAAAATATCTATAAAAAAAACCTGGTTTATATATTTTTTGGAACCTTGTATTACATTTTTAATCCTTAGCTATACAAGTTGAGAATTTTATAAATTTTAAACTACAAAATAATTTGTAAATATTCAATTTGATAAATTTTGTCAACATTTTAACTTTATAAATGCTTATAAAAAAAAAATCTTGCCTAATAGGTGTGTAATACATAGTATGTATTTTTCTTGCCTACTGATATTGTAACGATGTGTTCGTTCGCCTTGTATTATATTTTCAAGTTTTTTGACCCAACGAATAAAGATACTGAAGTTGAAAATCGAAGCATTATTTCAACTATTTATCGTGTACACAGACACAAATAAATTTTTTTTTTTAAATTTAAGAAGAAACACATCATTATAAATCATTAATCAATACATATCGCTCCGCTCAGAATCCAAAACTTTAATCTTTTATAGGTTTATTTATATTGACATATATCGTGTGACGTTATATTTTAGATTCTTAACGAAGCAATGATTTTATTGATTTTACAATGTATGTTTAAAAAAAAAAAAAAATGTTTTTGTCTCAAAACACTTTCTAACTAGTAAAAAAAATGCTACAATTTATTGTCAATTGCATTAACATCAATGGAGGTTTTTGATAATCATAATATTATGGTAATTTTGTCGGGGTCGTCGATCGGTCCATTTTCGACGAAACGGCCGCTAACTCGCGAACCTCGCCGCACCGTCAATATTTGGCGGCCGATTATCTCGTACTCAGCCTCCAACGTACGGAACTGGGAGTGAGTATGAAGCACACGGTGAACAAATAACTATCGCGAACATGTTGGTTATCAACGTAACCACCTCGGTGACGTACTGGCGTTTAGGCGACCCATGCAGACATGAGGACAGTTGTAAACAGTCTCTGCAGACATACTGGGCAGCCACAGGTTGTCGATGGCCGTCGGCCGTGCCATCCCGGTGGTTAATCTACACTTACGTGACGTCGGCGAACAACGGCGGGATGATCCACACGGCAAGCCTGCAGTATAGCTGACCTATATATACGTCCGGAGCAGCGTGGATACTATCATAGGCGTGCGCAGGAAGGATGCCGGGTATGCCATGGCATCCCCTGCAGAGTTATCATAACCATATAGTTTTTAGTTGTAAATGATTTGATTATAAATTAGAATCATGAACTAAGATGAACTATAAAATATTTTGATTATTTTTTTATATAATTTTCTTATAATAAAATATTGGGAGTTGAAACGAAATCAAAGACTAATTAGATTTCATAATCACCACAGGTACCTATATATATAAATAATAAAATAGATTGCTAACTCATTTTAATATAGTTGAAATCAAAATCCACCATTTTCGCGAGAATTGCGGGTTTTATCACCAGAACATTCAGACCCCTGCGGTATTGCTTATTTTCATACTACCTACAAAAAATATCAAAAATAAAATAATTTCCATTAATTAGATTATAATTTTTTTGTCATTATTATATTATTATAATATGATCAAATAGGTATTCAAGTAGGTTTTTATACTGTTACTTTATTGGAATGAAATCACAGTACAAGCTTTTCAAACTAAAATATCTAAAACCTGCAATAAATAAGCTAAATAAAATGCATGTTAATGTCTTTTTGCATTATATCGTTATACCTATTAAGAGTTTTTGGGGAGTTACTTTTTGTATTGATGAGCTAGGTATGTTTAAAAATACCGGCATACACTGCGAAAAAAAGTCTGAGCACGCCTATGGATACTATGTCACCAGTCAATCGCTGCAGGACGGCCTGCCGCACGCCGTGTACCGGTACCGTGTCACGTTCAGCACGGCCTGCACCGATCGATGTTGGTGGCCAGCACGATGGCGTTGAACTCACACGTCAGCCCGTTGAACGCCACCGCGGCAAAGGACGCGAACCTCCGCGGGTCGTTGGCTGACGTATACAACCCGGCCACCTGTACCAGCTGAATGGCCACGATCAGACCACGAATTCGAACCAGATGTATGCTGTCCTGGACCGGCGGCCCTGCACGGTACCACCGATTACCTTGAAGAGCGGTCAGGCCTGCAGCTGTATCGTTCTCATTGAACTCGTCCGAGGTTACGGTCGCGACCCTGTGTAGGTCGATAGTGGTCACGGCCTGCGCAGGGCGTAATGTGTCAGACACGTTTTCGAGATCGCATCAAGTTTTTGTTTTTGAACTGTGTAATGTCTTTTAATAATGAACGGTTTAAAATCATTAATTAAAATATAAGGCACAACCTATAGGTACCTTTAACTGTGGTCTTAGTAGCCCTTATTCCAAATCCCACGAGTAAATATTATTTTTGAATTACAACAGAATATCGAAAAATCTATATTTTTCTTTAGAATAATAATCAATTTCGTCAAAATTTGCATGAACTTCAAATAGGTACCTATATATGACCTCAGTAGCGTCATTTCAGTTTTTGAGAGGTGGGTGCAAAATGTTTGACTGGTCCATGATAAAACTGAAAAAAACCACTAGCTAACAATTACATTACAATTGCATTTTTATCTCAATACAAATAGCCTTCCTACATAATTGTATTCTTACTACTTACTATAGTTAGTATCATAATATTATGTTACTATCATAAGTACCTATTAATAATACATTTTTTGAGAGATAACAATTACTAAATAATTAATACATATGTAGAGGGATACCTAATTATGTTAAATAGTTTGAAAAGCTTTTCACCCTACTATATTACCTTTTAGCTAATATATGAAGGCCAAAACTAGCCCATATCCGGCCTGCTAATGACAGTGGGTAAATTCCCACTCTGTGACCCGAAATGACGCCTCTGTATGACCTATCCATAAAAAAGATTGCTTTGGGTTTCAATATGCAATACTTATATCAGAAAACTTATGTTGGTTTTGATATTAGAGTGAATTGACCTCTTATCAAACATCTAGGTAAGAATATTATCTGCACTCTGCAGTGCTTATACGTCGGTGATTTTTAAATACTTTAATTTTCAAACGCGGTTTGATCACTTTTAATTTGTAATATTTCACATACCCATATATTGCTTAAAAATTAAAATATTGAAAAATCGCCAAATCTGAAGCACATAATATAATGTTTTTACCTACAATTTTTATAATAGGTCAATTCACTCTAATACCAAAACTAACAGCACACACTATTGAAACTGTAGTGAATGACAAATTTACATGTCGTATACGTGTGTAAGACGAAGACATCAAATGCATGGGTAGCAATTTTCTATAAATGTGATATAAATTTGAACTTGAATGTTTATAAAAAAAATTGAAACTTGTTTTTACTCTTGTATTTTCATTTCTACATTATCAACATTAGTTTTTCAACTTCTATAATTTGCTATACAATTTAGTAATTGTTTAATACATTTATTTGCCTTATCTTGAATTGTATTCTTTTCAATGATTATTGCCATTAACTGTCAACAATATTTCATTATTACCCATGGTCATTAGTCATTACTCAATATAGATAAAATATTTATCTAAACTCTCCAAAAATAAACATCATTGGTTATTCATTCGTCCCTGTATATTAATATGGTCATTATATAACGGCATAACAACCGATAAAAAATAGCATATAAAATGTATGATGTGCGGGACCTTTAATTTTAGGTCATTAACCCTGTAGGTATCTATATGTCACTACAACCGGTCCTTACGTATATAAACGATTTCTACTGTGTACGGTGTTAAAATAAATATTGATGTTCCAAATAATTATAATTAGGTTAATTTAGTAAACATAATGTAAAAAAAAAAATTAAAACAGAAATAAGCCACAAGAGCAACGTAGAACTGTAGAAGTAAAAAATACTCCAAAATGAGCATAACGAATAACGGCAAAAATCAAAATAAAATGTCGTATATTATAATTTAGGTAATATAATTATGATTTATGAGTCTATATATAGCTGAAATATATTTATATTAGACCGATCACCGATAGAAACAAAGTAAACGCCAACCAAATTCAATTGATGTTTTTGAGTTGAACTATAGTAGGTATAAAGAAGCTGCTCAAAAAGTCTTACCTTGATTAATTATTTTATGAACTCGTACATTTGGAATGGTGGTTTTGGTGTAAAAACTCTTAAAATTGATATCTATATTTTAAGACTTTAAGTTATTTCTTATAGTCATAGCCCAAAGGAAACACACACACACACACACACACACACATATATTTACTATATATGTTTAAGTTTACCTATGTACTAAATTCAAAAATGAAAGAATAAAACAAAATTAGTACGCTTATAGTCAATTATTTTAAGTGTATTCTCAGTGTTAGAGATACAAAATCCTTTACTTTAGCTGTTAATAACCAATACGGCAATATATAATATTATATATTCATATCTTCACTTATAAAGTTAAAATGTAAATGTAAATGTAAAAATATAAAATGTATTAAGACATACATCAAACGCAATTCTGTTATTTCACAGGATTTTTTTTATCAAGTTTAAAATTGGTATAGGAAGGAATTAATTATTAAAACACTTGATTTGCAAACAATTTTCTGTTAATATTAAACATTTCTATAAAAAAACAACATAAAAAATATTGTATACATGCTATAAGAATAAATATTTTGGCCATTATATTTTTATTAATTTGGTATTACTGACTACTGCAGTAATTCAGGCAATTACCCGTTTCCGTCAAAATTAAAATGCTTGTTTCCGCAATCCCCTGTTTCCACCAATATTAAAAAAGGTTTGATTTCCGTTTCCGCTAATTTGCTTGCTACTCGTTAAATGTAAATTATCTAAATATTTTAAAACAAATAAAAATCAAAGAAAATTTGTTTTTTCGTTTACCTAATTAAATTTAACACAGGCTGTATAAAATCTACACAGTTCTTATATATAATTTATTATATATGACTTAGGTGTTACTTATTATTATTCTGAATAGAAACTATGCTGAACAAACAGAAATAAAATATTATGTATAATATTGTGATTTTTTTTATTTGAATATTATTATTTATTTAATTTTTTAATATTAAACGTTGTCATATAAACCATGTACAGTTATTTCAAGTCCACTCTTCATGATTTAAAATTTAAATATATAGCTTGTAACTTGTAAATAATCACGTTTTTCTTTTTTTAATACAACGTTCAACATCATGATATTATAGTGTAAATGTGTAATACCGTTGATTTTATATTATACATATTATAAAATCAATGGTAATACATATAGTGTAGTTATATGAAAATGAAAAATTTCTTCCAAACATAATATGGAATATAAGTATAATAATTTTACCAGATCAGGTTTAGCAGGTATATTGGCGGAAATAGGAATCAAACCTTTTTTAAAATTGGCGGGAAAGGGCGATACAGGCATTTTAAGTGTTGGCGGAAACGGTACATGGCCATAATTCATGGATACATTGTTTGCTATTCTTTTATCTTAAATGAATTTAAAACACTGTCCATTCTCTTAATGATATTGACTAGTGGCATCATGCGTTGACTATCATGTTCTTTTGCTTTTAATTTATTTAAATATCCATATTCTGCTGTCTGGTGACTAATATGCCCGAAAACTTTTTGTTTATGTTCTATTGGTATCAAAAACCTCAAACCAATGTCTGTTTCATTTTCTCTGTAATATGATCAAAATTTAGAATTTCTTACGATAATGTAAAAAACAGCCGACAACTTACTTTTTATATTGAGCAACATAAATGGGCGAATTTTTATTTTGAGTATATACCCCAAATACTATCATATGATCGTGTGGATGGTAATCTACTGCGCCACTAGTGGCAGCTGATAAATCTTGACGATTCGTATAAAATGCCAATTGTTTAGCAGTATACGCTTCCCAAACATTAACTAGTCCGTCTTCGCCACAGCCAAACACAAGATTACCACAAGGACTTAATACACATCCTGTTTGTACTTTGTTGTTTACACCGCCCTATCAAAGTGAACATTTGTATTTATCATGAAAAATGCGAATCTTGTTATATGTAAACATTTACCCTAAACCACTGTATGATTGCCGTCGTATGTAAATCCATCATACGTAAAATACTATCTCTGGTTTGAATTAGAAGTCGTTTACCGGCTGGATGTAAAATTATATTACTTATTATAACTTGTCGTATTTCGGGTACTGATATAATTCTTTTTAGTTCTAGTCTAAAATTACGTATATGCATCATATATTTTAAATATTAAAGGTTATCGGGCATGTCGCATATGTGTATATTTCTGGTAAGGACCATAAGTAAAAAAGGTGGGCTAGTGGGTAGGTACCTACCGCTCTTCTGTATACAGTAGGTGTCGTGTGGGCAGGCCCCTCACATCAAATGTTGCCCCCCTGTACTAAATGTTTTTATGTTGGCCCTATATAAAATTTCCAATAATAAACAACCCATTATACAAGCGATACGAGTGTCCCATACACAAGATATCTACTTAATATATTCAATATTGTAACATTATACATTTATATCATAAAATATTATTTAATATAAAATAAGTATTTCTATAAAAATTATAAGGCCCTGCGTGCGGTTCATTGTAATGGATGTGCTGCAGTTAAATTTGAATTCATTGTAAACGAAAAACGATTCTGAGCGAAGACAGTCTGTCAGTCTATATTACTCAGTTTATTTTTTGATATTGTTGCTATTGAAGTAATTTATTTGACATGGTATAATAGTGTAATACAGCTAGGTTGAATTAATTTTTGCTGAAAACTTTGCACTTGAAAATTTGTGTATAAAATATAAGAATACGTAGTTTCAAGTAACAATTTCAAACTATTTATCGAAATTTATAGAAAAAAAACTTTCAAAAACTTTAAAGTTCTTAAAACTATTAATCGGCCATAATTGAAAAAGAAACATTAAGAAATAGAAAAATCATGGCTAAAAAGCTTGTATATAAGCTTAAATAAATCAAAAAAATTTCAGGTTTCAAATATTTAAAAAAAATGATCATGTATATATAATTAATTTGTATTAAAAAGAATTTACTGTTATTCATTTTTGAGTTACGCCAAATACGATAAATGTTGTCAAAAACTGGTTTTGCTTAAAAATTCTGGCGTTCTTAAGTTTTTTCTGTTTGTTGTTTTTCCGACGCTTTTGAAACTACTGAGAATTTTCCCTTTTGACCCCCCTCCCCATTGTATCAACTAGATTCACTTTCCTATCAGAAAAAAAATCAAAAGGCCATTGCCTGACAGATAAAAATAAAACACATTATTGTAATACTATTACGTTTATCGCTTAGCTCAGAATCTACAAATGTCAAATTTATCTACGCAATGTCGAAAAAATTATTTCACCGGGGGATTAGTACCTACCCCCCTCCAGACCACCCTATACGTAATATAATGTTCATAATTTTGACAGCCATTTACGTATTTTAATAATATTTATTATTAATACTGATTTAAATGTTTATATATGTGTATATGACCTACCTACAATTTTCGAGCGTCCATTCGATAATTACTCCATGGCTATCGGATGAAAGTACTATAGTTTCCAATTGAGCAATACTTGATATGAAACCTTTGTGGTATTCCATTTCTTGGCACAATGTCCATTTATTAAAGGTGGAAGTCCATAATCGCAATATACTATCGTAACATCCAGTTATTATAACTGTGTTATTATATTCAGCACAATATACATACGACGGATGTGGAAGAATCTAAAAATAGTCATTTTCAAGTACATAATTTGTGTTATATGTATTTAATTGTTCATACTTGGAAGTTTGTTTGATTGTTATTCTTCAGTGTCCAAACACAGGTAGTATAATCGGAAGAAGTTGTTAATAAATTATTATTATCATTGCTCCACCTTAAAGTATATACTAAACCTGTGAATGTCAAAATATAAAAAATTATTGTAAATCGTAATAGACTACATACACTATACAGTGTGATAATACCCCCCCTCCTAATAATTCATTTTATTAATTTTTCAGTTGGCCATTTATGAAAAACTGAATAACTGTACAAAATGGCCAATTGTTTGAAAAAATTGTAATACTGTTGTTGCTGAAAAGCTTGGGTGAGGGGATTAATATTATAAATTCCAATGTATGTATGTATGTACTAGCCAACTAAATGTATCTAGTTGTATTTTCATAGGAGACATAAATTCCTATGAAAATTAATTTATTATGTTTCTATGGTTATAAAGCGTTAGAAAGAATCGGTTAAAAAAATAAAATATCAGTAAGTACTCAGCCAAAAAACATATTTATGTTAAAATATTGGTAATAAAATATAAAGGTACAATTTTTTTTTATAAACATTTGAAGTTCAAATAATATCGAATAAACAATATTAAAAGTTTTAAATACCTGGTGATCGACCACCATTTTGATTTTGTACAATTTTAATAAATGGATCACAATAATGTTCTTTTATTATTTATCCATAGGAAAATTGTGTTTTTCTTTGCTAATAAATACTTTACTTTGTAAACAAAGAGTCAAAGTGGGTTTAAGTCTAATTTTTTATTATTTGTACACGTGATCAACGGATTTTAGTATAATTAAATTTTAATAGGATCGTCCAATATTCCTCAAAACATCGACCAGTCGATCGAAACCCATACATTACAGTAAACCACTTAGACACCTATTGTAAAGCAGACCACTACCCACTTGTTCACCTTTCTTTACACCTAATTAAGGGTAGGTAATGAGTATTCTTTTCATATTAAGTATTACAACTTGAATTTGTTATTTACTTATATAGTACCTATATAGTATATATGTATACTAAAAATATTTTTGGATCCTATAATAGTATGATGATAATGGCTCCAATAAGATAACAACAATTTGTTGACTGGATCAATTTTTAGAGTTGATAAAACCCTCTTCTGTACTTCCCTGACTATATACCGATGATTGCTCAAATACAGCTTGAAGTTTTAGCGGTATACCACAATATAATACCTTAAATTTAATTTTAAATTTGAAAACTTTAGGTTATTCCGCGTTAAGTCATCGGTAAGACGGTATTCCGGTAGGCGGTAGACGATATAGTATAGTAGTATACCGTTGATGTTGAATATCAGTAGGTACAGGTTTCTGATACCGTCATACCGTCAACCCAAGAAAATAAAAATAAATCTCAAAAAATAACATTGCTATATTAATAGTTTGATGAATCTAAAACCAATTTAAGGAAACACGTCATACAGCCTATTATATACATACCTACTATAGTAACTTAATCGGATATTTAATTTTAGGTCATTAAATCCGATATTACTACCACGACTGACTACTGAGATACATTATTATTTTTATATGCACCTACAATCTATACCAATAATTATATGTATGGTTAAAAAAATTAGGTATTTTTACGTGGAAATAATGCTGCGTCTACAGGTTTGTAATAAATTCATTGAAGTGAATAAAACTCATAATAATACGATTTTAAATTATACATTTTGATCTGACAAGTAGGTAGGTATCTCATGTAGTCATGTTATATTAAGTTGAGATATCCATATAAAGTGATATTATATAGGTAACATTATAACTTACCTTGATGACCAATTAACTGTTTAAACAATTTATATCCGGGTACTGAATAGATATTTATATTTTTTCCTGTAGCAACTGCTAGCCTTAAACCATCACAACTAAATTTTAAACACATACATCCTTCCAAGTTCGGTTGAAGTTTCACAATTTCAGAATTTGGTATTTTACATTTTTGACCAGGAAAACGTTTCCACTTAATATCGTATTCCTATAAACACAATTAATACTATTCGTTTATTTTTCAATGAATGAAGGCTTAATATTTCAATTAATTTATACTTGAAACGTTTCTTGACTTGAACTGATTGAATCAGAATTAATTTCATTTGGTGAACTAGAGTTAATAGATTTTAATTCTTGTTGATTATGTTCTGATACTACTTCAGTTGCCCCAAAGTATTTTACTTTATTCAAACTAATGTAAAGCGTGCTTGGATATTTTTTTAATATTCCTTTTATAAACCAATGCATTGCCTAAATATCCAAATGCAGACTTTTTCTTTTTTAAGTTATATTTCACAAATTAACTTCCAAATTATACCATATCTGGTAATACCTACCGTTGGATGACTTTTGTGAAAAGACTTCGGCTTGGGCCCAGGCTTATATAATTGTAATCTTATTTGTTTTCCTGTATTTGTAATTCCATTTGATCCAATTGGTCTTATAAACGCCCAAGCTATTCTATGCCAATCATTCATTGTTACTAGAGGTCGAATACTTCCAGTAAAATCTACAATCTCAAATAATATTACTGTATTCTCTGTTATGATATGTTTAAAATTTTCAGTATAAACCAGTTTTTCATCCCAGATTGGTATTATTGTTCTAGACATACATTTTAAGTTTATTTTCAGTGCATTTAAATTAATATTAAAAATAAATATTACCCACTTATGAAATTTGAAATCAAATTCTTTTGTTAAAATTGAATTAATATAAGTTTTTTCTTGATTTGTTACATTTGTATCGCTTATTCTTAGATATTCCCACGTAGTTGTATCGATAATAGAAATTATTACACTTGGATGTTTTATTCTTGTATCAACTTTTAATGCATCCGTTTTATGAATATAAATTTCTAGTTTAATGTTTTCATTTTCATCTAAATATTTATTTTTAAAATTATTATAAAATTCATAGAAGGATTGTTGCAAAATAATTCAAAAAAATAATACTTCTTGTTTCTTCATTAAACATGTTTAAACTAGCAACATTATTTAATGTAGCTGACAGCTCCATGTCATTTGTTTCTCTGTTTTCTTTCATTTTAACTCTAATAAAATATATATTAGAAATTATACTATAAGAAACTTCAAACTATGCATAACTGCATAATATGTAGTATTTTTTTACAATCAATGCATTGTATCAATAAATATTTTTTATTTTTTATGTATGAATTTAAGTTTTTAAGTTGTATAGTTATTGATTTATTGTGTACTATACTTTAATGGTACTATTCTGCTTGAACTATCTGTGATGTCACTATCACTTAATTCAATAGATACACTTTCTGGCGTTACTGATCGACTGTTTTGTAAACTACTCTTATTTGATATTGGGCTAGTAGCAGATATACTTCTTTCACTAGATCCATTAATACTTGAAGACTTTTTACTAGATATTGAACGTGGACGAGGGACAGGTATTGGCATACGTACATCAGTGTTATCTATTATTTCAAAATAATACGATAATTAAATTAATTTAGACAAATGTTATTTTACTATTAAATAATTTATAATAATAGTATGACAGTAATTACTTTTAATTTTTTGCCAACTTTGTGATAATGGTGATGAATCATGGCTAATTGATGATAATTCTGATCCATCCCTGTATACAAATTACCCAATTCATCTTTTAAATTAAATAGCAAACATTGTATACCTACTTCAATATCTTATTAATCATAAAATATTATAACTGTACTCAGGGGCGGAGTGGCTCCAAAATGCTCACTGGGAAAACCAATATTTTTAGACTCCTTTTCAATATAACCTTTACTAATAAATTATTTACATTGATGTAATTTACATTTTTGTTTGGAAAGTGTCTTAAAATTGTTCTTGTTCAATCAACTTATGGAGACACTAATCATCATGTCATCTGTCTTCTTATATTATATTTGGTTTCTATTATATATTTTAATATACATTGTATATATTTTTGATTTTTCTATAGACATTAATACAAATGATTCTAGATTATCGATAGTCATTGAGTTTCTCAATCTATTATTATTTGATATTTAAGGATATAAAACAATCTACTATTGTCCTTTTACCCTACTAATTAAGGCTCATAACATAATAAAGTCAAAAATTAAATTCATGGGACCATTCTTCCCCTAACTGTACCTACTCAAGACATAAATTAATGGCTAAAACTGATTATACTGTTAGTCATTACATCAAGTTAATTCATAGATATATAAATCTAAATTGTCATGGCCAATGGGTTATAATTTTATTTATTTATATTAAAAATTATAGTAAGATTTTTGTGGTTTATTAACAAGAGTGATTTTTGAAAATAAATAAGTACCTCCCACTGCTGCTGGAACTAGATCCTGTAGACTGAATATCATTTATACTTAATAACTTCTTCTTTCTTGGTTTAATTTCTGGTGGTTTCTGAAAATTAAATAATTTTATATTTTAATTTTAGTTTTTAAGACTTAAAAATCATATTTACTCAAAATTAAACATTTTCTGTTATTCTAATTTCTGACCATTACAATATTACATATTTGTAACTTGTCTAATAGCTGAAGAGATAACCTATTGTATCTTATTAAAATTTAAAGAAAATCTAAAGTTTACAGGAATTGTTTAACTATTGCTTCTACATTATTACTTTCTGACTTTATAATACAAAATATATTTGTTGGCTTAAGCAAAAATGATCCATAGAGACCTAAGACCTTCTTAATAATTAAACCTCTTTCCTAAATAAATCAATAAATCTTAAAAAAAAAATAAAATATTTTGAGTATCAATGTACACCACTTCAATCAATGTATTTTTATCTAATTGTATTTAGTGTAAATAAACATATTGTAAATATTTTCGTATACACATTTTTTAGTTCAAGTGATTCCAAACACAAACAATAATATAGCAAACTAAAAACCTTTATTCAAATTATTAAACACACACACAAGTTAATAAGAATATCAAGTACACCGTAGTACTTCTGTACCATGACTCTGAGAGTAAGAGTCTCATGCTCTACCGACTGAGCTAGCCGGGCCATTCTTAATAACTTATGTGTGTGTTTAATAATTTTAATAAAGGTTTTTAGTTTGTGTTTGGAGTCACCTAAACCGAAAAGTGCATAAACAACAATATTATTTAAAAAACAAAAAAATTAATTAACCTATTTAATACAAAAATGTATCAAAAACAGAATCTAAAATACTAGGTTTATTACTAATAACTATATTCTATTATTCAATATATTAAAACCACATTTATTGAATTTCAACATCAAAATTAGAAAGGGGTTTCCTTATATTATATACTTTCACAATATAACAAATTAACAATAATATTGTAGTTTATAGGTACATATTTTAATTAATAATTATCTTATTTATTTAAAAAACCAAAATAATTATAATACATTTTAACTTACTTCTATTAAATTTTCTCTAGAATCTGATATAGGGCCATATAAATTATTATGAAATTCAGTAAGTTCAATCATTGGATCTTTATCCATTACTTATTATACCAAACTAATTTTATTGAAGAAAGACACTTAATTTGTAATGATATACTTTTTAATATTTATTGTTCAGCCTTTTCTTTTTTACTATTTTAATATTACTATCAAAATAATAACAATAACTATCTTCTACATTGCAACCAAATTATTGCATTCAATAATTGTTGGTTTATTGTTTTTGTTTTTGTGTAAACTGTAGTCATAGTGGAAATCACCATAGAAACGACTGATTGTTTACACTTTTTTTATGGAAGTAAATTTGAATAACAGAACTTTTTTAAATCATGTTTGTAGTCTACCTAAATTATTTGTAAAATAAAGACTTATTTCATTATTAAAGAGTAATTCCATTCATAGATTCTATTTTTAGTAAATAGTGTTTTTAATATTATTTTTGTAGTTTATAGGTAATCTATATAATTTAATCCAACTATAAATTAAACGAAGTTTTTAGTTTTCGTACTTAGGTAAATAATATAAATAAATAATAATACATTTATTAAGGGGAAATTGTCAATTGGGGGCTTATACACCACAAACTTTTATCACTTTTTTAACCTGAGTGCCATTCATAGATATATATTATTAAACTAGATAGCCGACTCTGTATAGACTGTGCATACAAATAGGACGCCTGGTCGCCATATGCAGTTTGGGCACTGTTTACAAAATATAGATGTTATCAATCCTCGTGATATCAATTAATTAAAATTAAAATTGCTTTTTGCTTAACGATAAACTTTCGTAACTCGTCAGATGTGACACAAAAAACAAGTCTTTTTAAAAAAAATTTTGAAATTCTTGAGGTGCGTGGTAAAGTGCATTTTAGCCAATATCTACAATCAAAATATCAAAAAAAAAAATTAATTTTTTTTAGCAAATTATTTAATAAATTTTTTTTTATTTTATTACGTATATACAACTGTGTTCATAAAAATAAATTACTTAACATTTTATTGTATATTATTTGACTATTTTACTAATGTGTTTGACCGTTGGATATTTTGGTTTAGATATTTTGTCCTAGATTCATTTTTGTAAATAGGTTTCCACTGAAAAATGCTGAAAGAAAACAGCAATGGGATAATGCAGTTGGCCGAAAAGGGTTTATCCCGACCAAACATAGTAAAGTATGTAGTGATCATTTCCATCAAAATGATTTTGAAAAAAAATGTGGTGGTAGTTATTTGCTATAACTCAAGGCAACGGCTGTCCCTTCGATTTTTCCTAACTACTCAGACATTATATCAAAAGCTAAAAAACAGTGTCTTGAGCTTGAGCAATTTCAAGTAGTTGGACCCAGCTCTTATATTCCTTGTACTGAAATTAATGAACCAAAATGTAAAATATAATATTTAAATTGTTTTTTTTTACAATTATGTTATTATTATGTTAACATTTAATAACAGAATCTTTTGTTATTAGACTTTATTAATTCAAGGAATTTTACCTGATATCTTTGTATATGCAGCACTAAACAAATGTTACTTGCAATGTACATTATACTAAGTGTGCATATTCAGATTTGAAAATGAAAATTTTAGTGCTACCTACTGCTAGCAAATGTTCAGTTTTCTGGTAGTGCAAGTACTACATTTTCACAGGCCAATATACATTATACACTACTGCCTACTGGAAGTGAGCACTCAGTAGTAGTTCTGGTCACTTGAGTGTTATTCAATAATAAATATTAATTATTAATAAGCAATGCTAAAAACATGACATGGCTAAAAGAAATATGTTTTGAACTTTGAATTCTATTTTTTTGATCAGTTACTTATCACAGTAATTGATAATGATAACGAAATATAAACATTGCCGTATCTGCATATGGCGGCCAGACTTCAATAATTGAAACAAGTCGGCTATCTAGTTTAATAATATATATCTATGGTGCCATTGTATCTAATATCACTAGGTACCCTAGATAGTTAGATCCACGGTTAGTCCGTGGTTAGATCATAACTACTATTTAAGATCACCACCAAGGTGGATATATATATATTATAAATCCACCTTGAATCTTGATCACCCATATACCTTACTATACTATAGAATAAAGTATAAACTATAAGCACACTTAAGCATTATTAACTAACTATACAAAAAAATATAATTAACCATGATATTATGATAATATTATGACATGATCACCACAGAATTCTGAGTTATCACCAAGGTATCATCAATACACCTTGGTTATCACGGTTATCACGTAGTCAGTACGGTTATCACGTATCAGATTATTATTTATCACATTTTACATTTTTATAATAAATAAATTAGGGAACGTGTTTAGTGTTTTCTAATTTTCTTAAATGTTTTTGAAATCATCAAGAGATTATATAGGTATATAAGTATTTATTTCCTTTAATACAACAGAAATTTACAATGTAAGAGCTTATATTTTTCTAGGATATAATTTAATATATTTTATTATTTGTGATGCATTAAAACTTTGAAGACAATTATATTATTATCACGGTTAGGAATATGATTTATTTGGTTCATAAATGTTTTGATTTCAGATAAATAATGATGCAGTCTTTAGTAAATACCCTGAAATTTTCATATTCAAAAATCAACATACAACCAGTTCGTCATCGGTATTGGAAAGATCAACAAGGCGCTCGGCCATTAATTAGACGATATGGTTATAATGATGATAAAATTCTCCAGTCAGGGTTATTGCCACGATCAGCCGATGAAAAAAATAAATTACCAATGCCCATATACAGACCTAAAGATGTTTGGAATGAACGCAGAGCTCTTTTTGGACAAAATGATTACATTGATATTTTAGGAGATGATTCTGTTCATCCTGTCCGAGTACTATACAATGTACCATCTTGGTTGAGAGGAGTAAAAGGCAATGAATTTCAAATATTATTAAGAAAGAGAAAAATGTTACAACATGGTGTATATCCATTGGCCAGACCAACAAAGTGGAGCCAAATGCAGAAGAGAATCAAATATTTGTATACTTTCTTGAATAGAAAAACTAGAACTGGAATGGAAAAATAATAACTTAATATGTTAAACAATATAAAAAATTAGTATTTAAAATGATTTGTATTTTGTATAAAGAGAAAAAACCTTAAATAAAGGACACTGAACATTTATGAAATCATTTAAAGTTGTAGATACTATTAATTATCATTATGTCATCTTCTGTCAACAATTTGAAATAATTCAATTCAAATTTCTTAAAAAAATTACAATATTAGGTTGATGTAAATATATCCTATTAATATTATAAATGCGAAAGTCTGTGACTTTGTTACTCTTTCACGTAAAAACTACCGAATGGATTTTAATGAAACTTTACAATAATATAGCTTATACATCCGAATAACACATATGCTACAAATCATCTCCCTACGTCCAACCAGGGGATGTGCTCAAACGGGGATTTCGAGATTTACAGTGGAAATTTTTATTTATAAATGGTTGCCATGGGTTCTAAAACTATTACAATAATAATTATTGGTTGCTGTGAAATCAGTGTACTCATCCAATGCATTTAATTCTTATGTACGCTGTGTTATGTATCACAATTACTTAAATATTGAGCGTATTATACTCGCACACAAGTTATGTACATGGTACATAAAACAATCACGATGCTACGTATTCGTGGACGAGGAGGAAATATTGGTCGATAGACTCGGCATTCACAATTAATCCAACCATTTAGGAGGAGTTCAGTAACATACTTGGTATAACTTTGCTATTTTAGAGTTAAATTATGAAGCATCATGGGGTCCGCGATAGATTGCCTACCTGATAATATATTTACTGCTGCGAATCAGAATTTTCATTCCGGGCGACGGAAAAGTTAAGATAAATTTTGAACACCATACACTGAATATTAAATAACGAATTGAACAAAGTTTGAGTCATATAAAGTTGATACATTTAACGGGTAATAAAGTGCACGGGATCAGCTAGTATATTTATGTATATATTTAAAAATTATTTTTGCTTTGGTATTAATGTTATAAATGTATTTAATATACAGTATTTTATACTGTATGTATACAAATAATATTCTGGTTTATTTACAACATTCACCTAGATATGAATATTGTAATAATTCATTCCAAAATATTGTATATAAAATACATTTTTATTATAATGAATTCAATTATTATAAAGAAAATTGTCTGGAATAGCCAATAGTTGATGGCTACATTAAAAAAAGAAACTTAAATATATCATATATGTCTCCAAAAGTGTTTAAGAAACAAGTGGTAATGGCTTACATAATATAATGAAGGTAATATGAGTTTTACTGTTAATAGGCAGTACTGAAATCATTATGTTTATTGTTTAACTATATAATATGCATCCAAATATAGCCATATAGGCATTTAAGATTACATTACTATTCTCTAAAGCTTGAATGTTAGACATTGGACATTTTATTAGATTTAATAATTAAATTGAAAATAATTTATATGATTAATTAGCAACACTGTTCAATTTATACAATAATCTAAATAAGACTCAATTGAAATTGATACATTATAATATTGTATCATCATATTATTATATTATATTTTAGATTCTGAGTGGAACGATGAATGTATTGATTTTACAATGATGTGTGTTTTTATATTTTTTTTAATTTTTTTATTTTTGTGTCTGTGTACACGATAAGTAGTCGAAATAATGCTTCGATTTCGACTTCAGTATCTTGTTCGATTGGAAAGTGAATATCGTTGGTGCATTGGGGAGGTAAAAATTTAAAATTCCCAGTACTTTTCAAAAGCGCCAAGAAAAACAAAAGAAAAATTAAGGAAAAACGGGAATTTTTACTCAAAATCGATTTTTCAGAAAATTGAATTTGGTTTTTGGTGTAACTTTAAAACAAATGACCGTAGGTACATGACATTTTGACTGAATGTTTATATTAGCATTTTCTATACACCATAAAATTTTCCAAATATTTTGACTTATTTTGAGCTCTTTACGGACATTTTCATTTTCCATTTTTTTTTAGTATTTTTTCTAAAAATATTAATAAAATGTTATTTGTTAGTTGAAAAAGCTTGAAAATTTAATAGAAGGCTCCTAGTATATTGTTTCAAAGGCAGATGAAAAATATTAAATTAAATTCATGTTAATACATGAAATTTTCACTGGTTGTTTATATTTGCATTTTCTATACACGATAACATTTTCAAAATATTTTAATTTATTTTGAACTGTTTAGGGACTTTTTCATTTTTCATTTTTTTTTAGTTTTTTTTCTAGAAATATCAAGAAAACTTTATTTGTTGTTTAAAAAAACTTGAAAATTTAATAGAAGGCTCCTAGTATATTGTTTCAAAGGCAGATGAAAAATATTAAAAATCGTTAGTCACAGTTTTTTTTTATAAGCATTTAAAGTTCAAAAATTGACAAAATATGGAAAAATCACGAAAATTAGCAAATTATTTTGAGTTAAGAATTCGTAAAATTTTTTCTTTTTAAATCTAAGATTTGAAAATGTAATACAAGATTCCTTATAAGATTATCTACCTTTAACAAAAAAAAAATGTCTATAAGAAAGTCAAATTAAATTTTTATGAGCGTTTGAAATTCAAATTTTTACAACATTGGATATTCACTCGATTTCTCATGTAGCGATTTCCTTATTTTGTTGTAATTCCAAAACGAATAACTGTAGATACATGCAAATATCACTGAATGTTTAAATTAGCATTTCCTATACACCATACAATTTTGAAAATATTTTGACTCATTTTGAGCTATTTACGGACATTTACCGCTTTCAATTTTTTTTAGTTTTTTTTTCTATAAATATTAATAAAGTTTTATTCGTTGGGCCAAAAAGTGTAAAAATGTAATGCAAGTCTCCTGATATACTGTTACAATACCAGTTGAAAAATATTAAAAATACATAGGTAGTTTTTTTTTTATAAGCATTTAAAGATCGAATTTTGACAAAATTTATCAAAATCTCGAAAATGATATTATAGCACAACTGTACAAGTACAAAATATCACACTAGTAAACTATTGTTTTTTCATTGGCTTATAGTCTTATTAATCTTTTTTCTATGCTTATAGCACCTTATAGTCTACTATACATGAAAAGTGGCGCCTGCCCGTCACGAACCTAGCGGCCGTTTCGCCTCAGTTGTTCACATTATGCGCGGGCGCGTGGCATTGCGACCCCTGAGTTGTATGCGGTATAGGTTGAGAACCAATGGCTAACGGGTAGTGAAGCAGCAACGGGTCGCGGTACACAGCGGCCACTAAGCCACTTTTCATGTCGCGGACTAAAGTAAGTTGATGATAATAGCACTATAATAGTATCACAGCTTCACTTTTGTTCAACTTTTGAGTTTTGAGAGCAGTCTTGAGTCTATTGAGCTTTGTAAGATTTTGCAAATATTATAAATATTATTTGCTAATATTTATTATTTAATTTAAATCTGAAATTGTAGAAGTTCGTTAAAGTATGACACATTTCAGATCTAAATAATTTGAAATCATTTTAATTTATCTTTTGTATATTTAGAAAAATGCTTGACGTAGATGGAAAAACACATGAAATGTTGTTAGACAATTACATTTCAAACCTCAAAAGAAAGTAAGTTTTATTACTTATTTTATTTTAAAAAAATTAGTCAAATCAGAATCAGATTAATTGAATGTTCAAATTTTAATATTTATTAAATATATTTTAGGAAATGGGAAAGTAACCATGTAATTGCGGAAAAAACTGTTCAGCTTTTTAGACATTTTATTGATACAATCCACTGGTCAACAACTATGTAAGCAATATTTATAATAATTAGTTATTTTTTTCTTAATATATTTTTGCATTTATTATCGTTAATCTAAATTACTAAATCTAACAGAATAAACTAAGTATATACTATATAACCATTATATAATTTACTATAAAATACGGTATATCATTTTCTTATATACTTTTTGTATGAATTAATAAAATATACTCATTTGTATTTGTTAATATAAGCTGTTAATTTTTTTTGTTATTGTTAGAGAATTACTAAATCAGTTGAGAGAATATGGATTCCGAATCACATCAGCATTACCATTACAATTTATTGTTGGCAATATTATTAGACGTATATTAAACATTGTTCGAGAAGAATACACTGCTGCTAGAAAAGTATTTTTAAATTCTATATTATACATTTTAAGCAAAAATGATTTTGTAACTAATAAATTAAAAGTATTTGTTGTATTGCAAAAAATTACAGAGCTCTGAAGAAGAAATCGATGTACAAGACTCATTACATAAAATCGTTACATCTGAAGATGATGTTGATGACTATAATAGCATTGTCCCTGAACTTAAGTTATCAATTTTTGAACATTTAGATGAATTTCAAATAGAGATAGAATCTAGGTATAAAGGAAAAGGTTGTCATATAGTATGCGGTCTACTGACAAATGCGTTCTACCGGCCGTTGTCATCTGCTTTAGGGTTTTACTGCAGCCAGCCAGGTTTTACACTGGCTTATGATCTTTGATATATACAGTTTATTCTCTTTTCTTTGGTTAACACTTAATCTTTATGACCTTATAATTTATCACTTTTAATATCAAAGCTTTGACATTTTGTAAAAGTATAGTCCCAGAAGCTCAGTATGTCACTTATTGAGTGATACTACAATTTATTCTACATATTATTTTGGCACTCACGCAGTCACTGACTCAATATGGCAAAATATTTTTTTTTAAATCATAAGTTGTGATGATTCAACAACCAATTTTTTAATTATTAAAAATGTTTTGTCAAACAATGAAAATTATCAATACAATAAGTGTGAAAGTGAGATGAATTTGTACTAAAAAGAAAAGAGAGTTTTACGTTGCAAACGAAAGGGACCGAATACTATATAACAGCCATGGAAAAAACTTATTTAACTTAGTTTTTTTTTTGTTATTTTTAAGTAATGAAGATATTTCTAAGCAAGCATTAGAACATATTCATTCAAATGAAATTATTCTCACTGTTGGGCAATCATCTGAAGTTGAAATGTTTTTAAAAGAAGCTGCTAAAGATCGAACTTTTGAAGTATTCATAACAGAATGTTCCCCTTTAAATCATGTGAATTAAAATTCAATTCAATTAAATAACTTGAATGTTTTATTTGACTTAGAATGTTACTAGGGTAGACAATTAGCTTTAAATCTCTCAAAACATAAAATTCAATCAACATTAATTCCAGACTCTACAATGTTTGGCATAATGTCTAGAGTGAACAAAGTAATTATTGGGGTTGATTCTGTTATGGCCAATGGAGGTCTTAGAACATTCAATGGATGTCATGCAGTCGCTTTAGCTGCAGCTCATTACTCTGTTCCGGTAATAGTATTTTTATTAGTTTTTTTTTTTTTTACTTAATTTGGTGAATTGGCTGTTTAGGTGATAGTCTTAGCACCAATGTATAAACTGAGTTCACGTTACTTATGTTCATACAACCAGGATGCATTTAATGAATTTGTTTCGCCAGCTGGTGTTCTGAATTATTCAGATTCAGTTGTATCAAAAGTTGATGTTTACAATCCTACATATGATTATGTCCCTCCTGAAAATGTCACTCTATTTATTTCAAATAAGTAAACATCATGATTGCTTTTTAATTATCAATAACATTTTTAATTTTTTGTTTTTTTATTTTTAGTGGTGGCCATTCTCCTTCATATGTCTACCGATTGTTATCTGAAATATATCATCCGCTTGATTACGATTTATCTATTCACAACAAATAAAATATTACTTAATGATACCTATGTTATTATGTTGTGTATACATTTTTACAATTAATTTGGTGTATTTTCATTTTCATAGAAAAGTGTAATATTGTATCATACTAACTATCTAACCTTTAAGATGGCTTCTACTAGTTCCATAGAAATATAATAATATATTTAATATTCTCTAATAATAATAACTGTTCAATGTCCAATCAAAGCCAAACAAATGAAAGCAGCATTCATACTGAATTAAAAATAGAATGATAAATAAACAAATTGTAATTGTTAATTGAGCCAATTATTTTCCCATAACTTTACAAAATCTTTTTAAAGTTTAGGCTTGGGTCTGATTTAAGATTTAAAGTTTTTAAACAGTTAATATTAAATTACAAGGTTTATCTGGGTTGTACGCCTAAAGAGTTATCAGCACTAAGAATTGTAATACATTTTATCCTAAAGATCAGTTTGGTAATTTTGTAATTTGAAACCGCACTGTTCTGAAAGAGATTACCTACTCTCTACACAGTCTACACATGTTGACTTACTTCTACAGCAGCGGCAAGCCTAATTTATCCTACGTTTCCTTGTGAGGACGTCACACCCGTATGTGTCGTCTCAGTCTTACACGAGTATGACATAGACAAAATGCATTTACGGAGTCTGACTAGAATCCGCTGGATTTTGGAACTAGAGCAAAATTACCTATTATAAAATTGAATTGTGATAATATTTCAGAGGGCTGGTCGTAGCATTTTTTTTTTTAAATTTAAATTTTGAAAAGTATTATAAAAATATTGAAATTTTTGCTATTTCTAAATGATATAACGAACATTATATTGGGTATAATGTAAAAAATAAAAGGACTTTCCTTCAGAAATATTTTTCATAATTCAATTTTATAATAGGTATTTTTTACCCTAAAACCAAAATCGAGCGAATTCTGTTCAGACTGCGTAAACACGTTTTGTCTACGTCGTACGCGTGTAAGACGGTGACAACACATGTGGGTGTGACGTCCTCTTAAGTATAAAACTGATACTTTCAGAAAAACACAGTACGATTGTACAAACATCCATAGCGGCTGGGCGACACAGTCACTGATAGATGATGCACAGTACAGGCTAAGACTGGTCAGCTTATTTTCTTTTCTGAACAAAGAATAATGAAATATTGTAGAATAAACTACTTACTATAAGTACTACTATAATACTTGAGTACATTAAAATAAAAATACTAATATTATAATAGGTTTTTGATAATATAAACAAAACACAATTTTTAATGCATGTATTTATTTTTATTATACTAATATAAATTTAATTACATTTTGTTGTTTTTGTTAGGTTTTCATATTCAAGATAAATTTATAGATACTTGCATTAAAATCCTGAAAAAAAAAAAAACCAATAAACAATTAAAAATTTTGAATTGTAAAATGTATTTTATAATAATGTTATACTATTATTAAGATTATAGGTAGCGGTTTAATGGAAGGTATATCTAATGAACACACTTTTTTTTTATTACCACAAAACCACAATTATAAGAAGTGTAAAATTTTAAATTTGGAAATCACAATACAATTTAAAAAATAATTAATCGTTAAATATAATTTGTGCATCAAGAAGTAAATGTATTTAACTATATACTTTGAAAATTTAATATACTTAAAATATATTTTTTATTCATATTAATTATATTGATAAGCAAGGCAGAGGATAGATAAAAGGTACCATGAACAAATGTGTGCAATAATATTTTTCTCTACAGTATTTTACAATAGGTATCTTGATTTTTATAAAAGTAGAATAGGTAAGACACACATTTTTATATGTGCCGTATGATTATATGAACTGCAAAATGTTGTGTTTATAGCCCATCCAACTCATATTAATATATTATATATAGTAGGATCCCAGTATTAAAAATGTTACTAAAGTTAATATAATGAATTTAATTAATTTTTGATGAATTTATTTAATTAATTTTTTTAATACTACGTATTATAAACTCCAAATTTGTTATTGTGGCAAGTTGATTTTATAAACAAATCGGTGTATGACCACAATTATTTTTACGACTATATTACTGAATACTGATTGCCGGGCTCAATCCACTGTAAGCTGTGGATTGTTAAATTCACTTCTCTCATATTTGATTGATTCATAACAAAAATAATTAAATTAATAGAAACGCTTACATTATCGAAGTCTTCTTGCTTCTCTTTCAGATTCGAGGAGTGTAAGTATATCTCCTTCACGGACGGGTCCTTTTACGTTTCTGATGATTTGTCGATTTTGTTCACCAATGAACTCAACTTTAACTTGCGTACATTGACCTTGCGACCCTGTACGGCCCAAAACCTTCAACACTCTCGATAATACAACTGGTTTATCCATGTTTTAAGTGCTGTACCAAACAAATAAACACATCAATTAAAAAGTACAAATTATGTAAAGAAAATTACTTACCGCCGGTTGACAAATAAAACAGTATTATTTGTAATTTGAATTTATTTCAGCAAGAGCCAAAAATCAAATTCAAAACTGAAAATGTAGTCAGATAGAATGATAACCTCAAAAGAACAGAATCGCACGGAACGATGGAATCATAGACCTATAAACAGTATAAACTAATGGGACTGCGACTCCTTCACCAACCAGCCATCCATGAGTGGCGCCAATATAGAGTGAGCGAATAACATTATGGGGCAATCTTGGTGGAATCATATAAGAGAAAGAGAGAGAAAACATAATGGGGAAAATCATGGACGTATGAAACTATATAAACTATAATACAGTAGGTTTGAGATACCTTATATCATGGTAACCATAGAAAATAGATAAATGATGGTAACCACCATCGAGATAGATAAACAATACCACGGACTAAGATATACAGGACTGGACACGAGATGAATATTGTGGTCACGAAATGTTTTACAACAGGCGGAGTTCGGGGGGATATTTTCCTTTTAGCATTACTAGCGCCGTCTTAGTGGATACTTATGGAACTAGAAATTTGTATGATGTGTTCTAGTTCCATAAGTATCCACTAGGACGGCGCTAGTAATGCTAAAAGGAAAATATCCCCCCGAACACTGCCTGTTGTAAAACATTTCGTAGTCAACCCCCCCACACCCTCCAACCTTGTCGTGTCCAGTCCTGTATATCTTAGTCCGTGCTATTGTTTATCTATCTCGATGTCTGGGTATGATAAGCTGTTATCTCGGGGGACCCAACTTACAACAATCTGCCCTGACGTCTTTTTAGTCTTTACTCTTTACCATAGGGCATAGATTAAAGATTGGTCTTTACATATTGTACAGCATAGAACTTTTTCTACTAATTCATATTTCATAATAGTTTATAGTAGAAACTAAACCATGAACTAAGAAGATCTTCTTAGTTTATGAACTAAACAAAGGCCTTATAATGTATGGAGTCTATGTTTCTAGTGTTTCTACTATAAACTAGTGATATTTGTTTTTTTTTTAATTGAAAAATATTGAATTTTACTAATTTTTATAGTTCAAATTATGAAATGCAATTTTACTATTAAGTATTTTACTGGTTAATAGAAATTCTTTAGTCATGCATAAAAATAAAAAACACAAATCAAAAAATAAAAACGAAATTGATTATTTATTTTACCATATTTTTAATTTAAAATATAAAAATTATTACAATACAGATTTATTATAATATTTTATTTAATCCCATTTACAGTAGATAATATTAATTTAGTTCAAGAATTATATTAAGTAGTCATTAGTCAATTGAACATTAAACATGTTGCTTTTCACTAAAAATAAAGAACTGGATTTTAATAATACTATATTTTTTTAAGCACTGAATGTGACAAATTTCAGCACAAACATAATATTATGTATGTTATATTATTTTGAATATTTAAAAACAATAAAAGTTAAATCGTATTTAAATATACTGACATTAAATTAAATACCATTTTTCTAGAAAAAAAACAAAATACAAAGTAAAAAAAAACTAATATAGCATCTTTAAATATTAAAAAATATATAAATAAAAACATTGAATTCAAACATAATAATTAATAAGTAACAATATTTAAATAAGTTTAGAAAATATTATAAACAATTGTTATGAATAAAATGTTTATCTTAAATACTTTCCTTAACACTTGAGGATAAAATGTATTTTATAGCTTATAGATATTAAGTTTGATCATTTAATTTTGTACTTTTATCTATTTTTCGTCAAAATACAATACCACGATCAGTAATACAAAAAATGCATTAGAACATATGAAATTAAGATAAAAACTTTAATACAAAATGTAAATTAAAATTATTCAATAGTAAAATTATAATGCCAAAATAGTTTAATTGTTAGATTTAGTTTTAATTATGTAAGAAATTTTGCATAGATTAGATAAATGTTATACATTTTATATTTTACAATAATATTTTTTTTTATATAACATATCTACAAAAAAGAAACCGACAGTGTAAGCATTTAAAACTTCACAATAGTGTTTATTATTGGAATAATTGTAAGTTTATTACAGGGTAACCAATTGAAGATAAGTATAAAAATTGTGTCATTTTACTGGATATTCTTTAAAGCGTTGAATTAAAAATAAAATATAACGAGTGTAAATGTATGTAATATCAATATTTGTTCCTATATGGATAAGCATATGTTGATAAACAATTAACTATTACGAGATGATAGAAATTAGAATTCAGCTTTCATTTGTTGGTTCAGGATTAATAATTACTTGAATTACATAACTTGGAAGAATTCTAGCTTCATCTATATGTAATTTATCACCCAACAGCTTACCACCGAAAAACCATCTTTGATGTAGAGGTTCAATGCCCTGTTTAGCCTAGAAAACAAAAATAAATAAATAAAAGTTAAATTAACACTTTAGTAATATGTTATTATATTAAATTAAAAAAAAAATTGAACAATTCAAGATGTTTTAGTTCTTTTTAACATCACACGTTAACAAAAAAATATTCTATATTATTTATGTTAGTTTTTTTAAAATGTATAGAATATTGTTATGATACTTAACTATAAATAGGAAAATTAAACTATTTAGCAATATTTTTAATACAAAACATTATTTTAAGTGGGAATATCCGATTGAGTTATTGACAAATTTTGTCAAAGGGTGTAACTATACTCTATTCAAAATAAGACCGTGACCATGCGGCGACCAGTTTTCGTCCGGCGGCGGTCAGACATATGGCGAAACGCCGTCCCCACCACGGCGGTGCGTTGGGCTCTGCCACAAAACAAAGCCACGCCCATGCGCACAACTCGGCCGCCCGGTCACGGTCTTATTTTGAATAGAGTATAGTAATCAGAATCGTGAAATATCCCAACTCTAATTATCATTGACATAAAGTTATATGACGGAGCGCTGGCGACTCCAGTAAAACAAAATTAAAAACACCAAATCTTAATTCCTTCCCAAATCACTGAATAGTTAAAATATTTTTGATCTGAAGAATAATACCGATTCAAACTAGTAATATCTGTATATTGTCGTTGAGTTTTTTTTCTTATTTAAATTATAAAAAAAATATTCAAGAAAAATCAATTTTCGACTAACAAGTAAATTTGAATGGTTTCGACTTTTAAAAAAAAATTATATGTATATATATGATATATATCAGCCAACTATAGTACACCAAACAATAAGTTTAGATTATATATTCAAGAGACTCCTAACATTTAAACATAGACCAGTGGAACGAACTTATAATGAAAAATTTCCATTTTTAAATGCTATGTAATTTACTATTTTTTAGTTTCACCTTAAACCTTTAGCCTTAGTTTAAGGCTTAAACCTAGTTTGAACTATAGGTATTTTCAACTAAATAAAAAAAAAAAATTGATTAATATTCCCCCTTAATATACTATAATAATTTTAGATCTTTAAACAAAAAATACCAATTACTCACTTGTAATTTCTTTTTAGCTTGTGCTATTGTGTCTCTTGTCATGAGTGGCATTTTTATATCTTGACAATTGGATGATAGACGAAGTTTTAACATAATTTCAGAACCTTCATCTGAGGATTCTATGCAATACATAATTATACAGACATTAACTTAGTGTTATTAATTATAAATACAATTTAATTGATCTATACCTGTTTGATCAACTGGAGAATCTCTTCCGCTTCCTTCTTTCACAATATTTATAGGATAAGAAAGGCAGTACACTGGAACTTGGTATCGTGTTCCTAGTTCATCATAGCACTCAGTTAGAAATCCTTAAAACAGATAAATTACATGATATATTTTTATGTTAGAAAATAGAATTAAGATTAAACTATCAAAATAAAACCTACAAGAAGGACCAATGGATAATATTTTTGCCTTTAAATTTGATAATAGGTCAAATAAATATCTTCATAAAATAACATTTATTATAACAGGCAAACCTTTTCCTGACGGGTATTTTGATTATACAAAATATAGTTACCTTAGTACCTACACATCAAATGTTAATGTTAAGATATGTATATTGTTTATTGTATATTATATATATATATATAAATGTTTTATACTATCATTGTTAAATACATGTTATAAGCTATTTAAATTAATTATCATTGCCATTATTATCTATCAGAGTATAAATCGAACTCTATTAACTGGCTATCACAAAATAGCATTACCAGCCTATATTTTTATTTCTTTTTTGCCGTTCCAAAAAAAATTAAATATTTAAAATGTTATAGTTATTTAATCAATTTAAACATTTAAGTGTTTATATTTTATCAATACCGGATGAAATGGGTTTGGGACTTTTATAAGTTAATTCTTGTACAAATAATGGCGGATCCAAAAACTATTCAAAGACCAAAGGGATGGTAATGTAATGTAATAAGTATCAACATAACTATTATTCTTATTCAAAATAGGGTGACCTACTAATACTAATACTTTAAAATAATTACTGTTTTTAATCAATGTTTTTGAATTACAACAAAATACAAAAACTGTCTGATGAGAAATTGTTAACATACGGGTGAAATCCTATGTCATCAAAATTCAGGGCTTCAAAACGTTATTTATACTCTATTCAGTTTAAGTTGACCCACTCGTCGGACGAAAACTGGTCGCGGCCGAGCAGGCCGGTCTGTCTTTGGAGCGCTAGTAGTGATCGTCGCCAATAGCAGCTACCTACTACGACGAGCACTGTCGATCACCGAACACCGCTGACCAATCACAGACCGCTGGTTGCCTACTCGGGAGGTCTGAATGTTCTAGCGGCTCAATATGCATGCGCTAAAGTGGGTCAACTTAAACTGAATAGAGTTATATATTTATAATGTTATAACGAAAAATAGCGAAAAAATAATCTAATACCATTAATTATAATTAATGATTAAAAATAAACAATAAACGTATATGTAACATAAAAAACTCCAAAATAATGTTTGTGCTTTTTTTTAAGTTGAACTTAACATTATTATTGTTTTTATATCTTGTAGTCTATATTAGTATGAATATTATAAGTTATAACTATAAACAATTCAACATTGGGAAGCCTATGTTAATAGTAGTTTATATTTTTGAAATACTTCATTCCTGTTTGACTTATTTAATAGAATATTGTTTTATTTCTGTAATTCAAATTTCAATAAGATACAGAACTGCGAGCGTGTGGTTTGGTGTACCTACCTACTGAATACTTATATAACATTAACATTATTATGCCATTTCAAGTTGTATTATGATTGTAAATATATTTTTTTTTATAAAATCTATTATTTTATATTTTATTCATGCTATAATATTTAACTATTTAAGCAATATTTGAAACCAGTGGCGTGGCAACAAGATTTTTATGTAGGGGCAAATACATTTTTTTGGTACCCAGTTATAGGTTTATAGGTACCCAATTATATATATATTTTGTTCATGGTGTTCTTACTGTTCATACCTATTCAATATCACCACTGGGTGACCTAACCCACCCTCCCACCATTGAATTTTACTAGAGGCGGTTGCCCAAAAAATATCCTTCGTCGCGCCACTGTTTGAAACTAATACCAACTTGCCAGTTGTAGCTACTTACTTAAAAGTTAAAACCCTAGGATGATTGAAAATAACTTATCTTGGACAACATATTCCACTAATTTGAAAGTTATTACATCAAAGTGTGGTTATAAATTACCTATGTATCCCGATTCCCGAAAATAACAATTTAACTTATAAAAAAAAAATTAAACAAAACAAAAAATGAACATAACGTTTAAAAATATAATAATGATAAATGAAAAAAATCAAATAACATTTGAAAGTACAACAATGTAGAATCAGAATAACTTGCTAAACAAAAAATTAGGTTTTATAGACCTGTAAAATTCAAATCATTCAGACACCCTTAGAAACTAATTGCCAACTCCTGGACCCTGGCCTAGGTGTTGCAACAAGTTGTAATAAGTTGTCTAATTTTGAATTTTAATTTGACACTGAAGAAACTAAATTGTTTTTAAGATAATGATATTATGTCGGTGATTGGTAGACTCAACATTGGTTAAAAAGGATTTTCTTTAGGTTCCTAATTTTAGCTTTGTTGATAACATATCATTGGATAAATAAATACATAAACCTATTTACCGTTAGGAACTGAAATGTTAGCGCCATCCAATATAGCTTGTGCCAATTGAAAATCAGTCGTTTCAGCAGCTGCAGTAGCTGCTCTTAATGCATCCCATATTTCTTTACGCCCTTCAAATGCTGGAGCCGTATCCCAAAATTCATCTCTTTTGCTTCGTAATTGACCTTCAGTTAAGGGAACATCAGACTTCCAACGTATAGTTTCATGGCATAATGGATGATTTTTTCTATTGGTACCTGTAAAAAGAATTAAATATAATGAATTGCATAATAAACGATGAATTATTCATAACGTCAAGGCTAATTGTGTATATTAATAAGAAAAAATAAAATAAGGAATTATTAGGTAATTAATTAAAAAAATTAATCTGAAAAACTATAGCTAAAAATACAAATTGTAACCTACTAACGCTTATAATAATTTATTTTTTGTACCTAAAATGAATAATCAGTTTTTTACATTTATAAATAATATCACAAATAATTTTATGGATGTTGATGGTGGTAGGGGGGACGGTGGTGGATAATTGTAGACCAAGGATAGTAATCACTCATTTATTGTCTAGAATTCAGAATGTAACAATTTCTTACATATTTATTGTAGAATAAGAATAACTAAGATACTACCCATTTAGCTGGTATCCAAACTTATGAAAAGTTCCAAAACTGGAAACAAAACAATAGTTAGATCAGAAGTACAATTTGGATTATAAAAATTAAACAATCAAAGTAGATATATTTGTTTAGATAAAAATTATTGTTTTTATTTATAAGTATGACAGATAGGTCACTAAGAATCACCCTATTTAAAATAGGAAATAAAAATGTTGTTCAAACAATGAAGACATAAAATTATAATATACTTAGAGCTAATTGGTGTTAAACATGTAATTAAATATTTTTGTACTTTACTCATTTAAATAATTAATAATCTATATGCATATAATATATATATATGAAATATAATATGTATATATTATATATATATATGATAAATACCTCACATTAATATATTATAACGAATACCGATTGCAATATATAATAACACCGAATTAATCGATTGAAATGATACAAGACAACAATATAGGTACAGATAAATAATAATCTACCAGAACTCGGGCGAGATCCATTGTCCGAGGATGCATTCCTTCCCCTGCGATTTCTCTGTAAACCTAAACAGCCTCCCATATTGTTCGAATAAGCCTTGGATTCATGGCAGCCTTACATTTATATTGAGCTAGTCGGCGTTCTTAGGAATAAAATATTAATTTTCCAATTATACAATTCGTGTAGAATGTTTGACTTTTAACAAATATGAAATATAAATATAAATCAGACGTAAAAGAATAATTATGTAAAAAATAGAAAACAATAAAATTTTGTAGAAAATGAAAAACAAATAATTATCAAACATTAAAGCCCTGATAAAAATGAACACTTTCATCACAGGATCGCTTTCATCATGGAAATCATGTTTTTTGTTTACTCCATGAATGAGTGATATATGAAGCGCTTATTAGTCTGTTATCACTTATCACAAAGGTTCTAGGATGTAGTGTTTTGATCGGCGGTGTACATAAATCATTAATACCAATGTGCATTGTGAAATACATCAAAGTATGTAGTATGAACGCACATTTTTAAAAAAAAAATCTCTCAAAACCATAATATATTAAATTGTACGATTTCATCTTCAAAAGTTCAAAATGACGTATGTATTGAATGAAATTGTGGACGTTGTGAAAAATGGCAACGATATTGATTCTACATGTGAATTAGTTAGCAAAGGTAATAAAAAAATTAAATACAATTTAAAAATTAGGTAGATCTGAAATATACTTAACAATGTTTTATAAATAAATCTGTAGACCGTGGTAAATCATTGTAAGATGCCTATTATTTTAAACATATTATACCAAAATATATAGTGAACGAAAATAGTAAACAATTTGTCAATATAACTTTAATATTTGAATTGTCACTATAATTAATTAACTAATTACCAGTATTTAATTGATAATATGAAATAATTCACTAAATATAATATTTTTGTTTTCATATTAGAAATGAAAAATATGTTATTTTATATAGTAGGCATAATTTTTTGATCTATATTTTATTATTATTATCTTTAGATGCTTAATTTATTATATATAATTATTTCATAGTTATATTATCTTAAAATTAAAACCATAAGTATTTACTCTGTTATATATATAATTTAATTAAAATTAATTTTCACTAGAATTAAGTAACTGATTGAAAAAATTATATTATTTTTAGAAATATCAGAGAAAAGATTAAGTTTTCTTCAATTTGTTGAGAGTTTGGAAGAAATTTTGACTTCTACAGATAAGGATATTCGCCTAAATGGAGTTAAGGCATTTGTAGCTGTTTTAAAGAAATTACCTTTGGATTTTTTTGTACCTGAAGAGTTGGATTATATAAATCAATTTTTATGTGAACGTTTCATTGACCATCATTCATTTGTACCAATTGTTTTAATTGGAATTGAATATACTGTAAGACTTAAATTAATTGTATTTTTTTATATAGAATCAAATTTTGAATTTGTCTTACATATTTTAGGTACAAATGAAAAATATCACCAAACAAATGATTGTAAGGTATTTTAATACAATCATGCCTCATTTTCATTGTCAATCACAACTTCAAAATGACCGACATACATTTTACTGTATATTACAATATATATTTTTAAATCGACTAGATGGTAATAAAAAATTTCTAATAATTACTTTAACCATTTTAGAATATTTATTAATCTTATAACAATAATTATACTGGTTTTCATAAAAAATTTTGTTTTTTAATTGTTACAACTTTTCTCTGCTGAACATATTAACTTACATAATTTCATGAATAAGATTGGTTTTTGTATAAAATGATCTAAATTTTTATTTTTATGTATTAATTCTGATAATCCATACCAATTCTGAATATGGAATTTCCCTAGTGATTTAGAAGAAAGAAAAAAGAGGGTAAAAATGAATTGTAAAAAAATGTTATAAAATTATTAAATATTCCACTATATTTATATCTTCAACTACAATATAAAATAACCATAAACATTTTTTTTAGATTTACGTTTTATGGGACCAGATTTCTTATATTGTGTTATTTCTTCAATGGACGGTGAACGAGATCCTAATAATTTAATACTACTCTTTAGAATACTACCACAATTTTTAAGAAATTATCCATTAGGTCATTTAGCAGAAGAGACTTTTGATGTTATTGCCTGTTACTTTCCAATAGATTTCTATGAAGTAATTAAAAAATGTTACTTGTAATATTTATTTAATTCACTTTTAATTACAATTTTGTTTTACAGACAGAAGAAAGTAAAATAACTAGAGATGAATTAGCAACTAACTTATCTCGATGTCTTACGTGTGTAGAAGAATTTGCTGATTTTTGTATTCCTTTGGCTTTACAAAAATTAGAAGCTAGTTTGAAAGTTGCAAAATTAGATTCATTGCATTTATTGGTAAATAATTATAATAACTTTGAATAACCAATTATTTGATATATATTTTATTTATTATTATTTTATAAAATAAATGTATTTTCCTTTATAATTTATATTAACCTTTCAAATGTTCAAGTAGCGGTACTGGACTCTTCTGTCAAGCCTTGTAAATGTTATAATATGTATTACTTTTTGTATTGTTTATACAAAAATTCAATATTTGTTTTTCTTAGTAAAAAATCAAAATACTTGATTTAAGTTTATTCATAATAATATTTCATGAGAAGTATTAAAAAAAAAAATACATTTAAATTCTAATACTTAAACTAAATCTTAACTTATCAATTTATAATCAGGGTTTGCACAAACAATCACTAAACATTTAATGAATCCATAGCGAGCTAATGAACCCTTAAACAAGATTTAGTGGTCCATGATTGGTCCATAAAATATTAGTGAACTATTAACCATTTTTGTATGCAATACTCCATAAGAATTTAAATACTTAACGAATTTATCAATTTATTTTTAAAAGTCTTGATAAGGTTTAATACTATAATTTAATGTATACTGTTTATATTTCAAAATATATTTTAGCACAAAAATTATGTCATCTGAAAATAGCCCTTAACGGTGTTTGAAATTTGCTTTATGTATATACTAAATATGGAGTGAATTTAATTATTTTAGAAATTCTGTTGTGAGAACTTTGATCCTATCAAATAAAAAATCACATTGAAGAAATATGGCGTATTTTAAAAATGATAATAATGGCAGATACTGAAGATTCTGCAGATGAAGTTAGAGAAGCTGCTATTGGCGTTTAAATGCTCTATTGTATTCTCTTACCATTATTAAAGGAGACAATGAACAAGAACAACTATCAAATTTCTTGGATATTGTTCTTAAAAGTTTGTGTTACTGAACTTATTGAGAAATTTAATTATTAATTTGGTTTTTTTTTTAGGTTCTAATAGATTTTTGTTGGACACTCAAGCAACTCTATTTATACCTTCAATCAAACTTCTTTGTGTGTTGGAAAAATTCCAACTATGCTTCTCTTAAAATAGCAAATCAAGTATACTTAATTATTAGCTATTTTTTTTATATATACTTTAATTATGTATTTAATGTAATACTTATTGATAATTTATTTGTAATTAATACAGGTGTATTTAATTTTACTTAACAAAAGTGATGTATCGCGAACAGAAATCACAAGAATCATAGAAGCTATGGGATTAGTTACAAATATGTGTATACAAATGTCTATCGATTTATCATGTAAGTTACCAAATATACATGATTAGAAAGAATGGCATGTTAATAATTTTTTAAAAGGTTCTAGTATTTATTTTATTGTACTAAATTTAAAAATTAAGATTTTTAATTGTAACACTAGGATATACAAAATATTATTATTTGTATATTTAAAATCTTAATTCGAGTTTACGTAAATATGCTACTGATTGGAGACTCCATATAATATTTCTTAAATTTTTATATTGTGTGTATAATATTCTATTTTTGCCTATCGAAGTACTCTTATTTCTAATTATTTATTGAAAATAAAATCATGGTTTTATTTTTAGCTATACCAGGACTAGAAACAAGATGGGAAGAAATATGTTGTTACTTTTTACTTTATGCTCAAAACGAATTGCCTGAAATAAAAATGTCTGCTTTGAGAGCATTAAAATATCGACTAAATACTAACTAATCTCAACGTACGAATTATTACTGTATTTTAATTAAATTAATCAAATCTGATACAACAGATTCTATTAGAAAAGAGACATTATCTTGTTTCAAAGAAGCAGCAACATATTTTTAAAGAAGAAAGTAAATAGTGAAATCATCCAATTTAATTTAAACATTTTAAACCGTAAGTAATTATTAAAAAAATAAAATGTAATAAATTAATTTCAGTATTTTATATTTATATCCTTGCCTTACTTTTGCTAGTACATTTAATGAAGTATTTGCTATTTCTTTATTTTTTCTAGAGTCTAATGATATTGTATTAAAATCGAAATGGTTGAATGCATTATGTTGTTTGGGAAAAGAAGAATATTTTTTTACATTAATTAGCGACAATCTATGTGCTAATTTATCTGAAAAGAAAGCAGAAACCGAGATCACTCTTAAATGTTTAAGGTGAATATCTTAATTATGATTTATGAACATATTTTAGCTTTATTTTTATTTTTTGCACAACTTATAATTATATAATTTTAATGTTTTTATTATATTTTATTTCAGAGATCTTGTTAGAAATGTTGAAAATATTAATTTGGTACATCATTTTGCTTTAAATGGTGGACTCTTAAACTTCATATTAACAACTTGGATCAATGGTATCAAGAGTTGTGCCGATTTCAGTATATTTAGAAATTACATTATTTTAGAAGATGTTTCTTTTGTTATTAATTCTATTGTAAAAGTGATCAATAACAGGTAACTTTTATTATTGTTTTAATATATTATTAAATCACTTGAAATATAGTAGTAACACAAATACATCTTGTCTCTGCCTTTGCTTTCATACACCATAATTTAGTGGGTTGATTAATTTCTGTTTATCTTGAATTTTATGGGTTGTTTTTATCCATGTGTATATTATTAACAAATATTATTTATCACACGTAAAAATATAACACTAACATATCATTATCTTCTTAATTTCTTTTTACGTTCTCATCTATCAATCAAATTGACGTAATAATCAAAAATTCTTTAAAAAAAAATTCATTTTTATATTATTTTTTAATGCCGGTATTAAAAATGTCATAATTATTGGTGTTTACCAATATAAATATTTACAATTTATTTATTGTTCGAATACTGATTACTTAAAAACAAACAATATATTTAATCAATGGTAAAAATAAATAAATATGAATAGGATTATATTGTAAACAACATATTTTGTCACGATACACTTTAACATAAATTCATATTACCATATAAAAAAAATACCAAATATTACTCATATACTTATATGACTATATTCAAACACCCACAGAATTTTGTATGGTTCCGTCAGACTATACCCATCTATTAAATCAGTTTAGTTTCCAATTATCAAATTCGGCTGATAAATTACTTTACCATCTTAGCCAAAGAAAATTAGGTGTTTGATAGAATATTAAAGTGACGCTTCCGACAGTGTGGCACTTGGCATGTGTTAGCCACATTGTTACCCCCGTGCTCAGGAAAAGCTTGTCTCTGGGATTAACTCTTATTTGAGAATAAGATATTATACAATCTAACAAATTTAAATTATAAAAAAATTAAGAATAATTTATTGATTTAGGTTCTAATCTTAAGTATATTGTAAACATATTAATTAAATATGATTTATGAAATTATAGTTTATTGAAATACATTAGGTCCCGGTACTTAGTATGTGTGTTGGTGTTAAAAATAATAGTACCATATAAACATATATTTGATTTAGTGAACACTTCAAATACTTAACCAATTCAGCCAATATTTCCATGACATTATGAATACAAAAATAGATTTTAAAACAACTTTCTGAGACACACAAGGCATACATTCATATATGGTAACTAATGGTTTTAATTCTTCTAAAAATATAATTATTATTAATTTGTTTCTCTGTCTATTGATCTGTACAAATATGGTAAAATCAAGTTAAAAAATTATAATTCATATTGAGAAATGTTAATTTACAACTTATCTGTATATTAAAATGTTTAATATACAAGTTTGATTTTACTGTACCTAGTGCTATAATCCCTATTAACAATAATAATAAGTCCATTAAAATAACAATTCTTAGAATCATTGCAAAAGATTGCTAGAAGAAGGTCTCATCTAGTATTTACTATTACATTTTAAGCGTAAATGGTGCTATTAGAGTATTAAATTGACATGGGTTTTTTTATATAACACTGTTTGGGAATTGGGAGTTTGGATCATAAAACTTCTATGCTTTATTAAAAGAAGTTTGGAAAAATTGCATAGCCTCGGAACGGTATAAACCGCTGTGAGTTGCCAGCAACCGACAGCAGTCAACAGACTATACATGCATGAACATTGACACGTTTCCGTCATCAATTATTCCCAACTTAGTTTGAAATAGAGTATAATGCTTTAAAAATATTAATCACAGGTTATGCTTTAAACATTCTGGATTTTACATATTATTACAGGTTATTTTATTAGAAAGTATTCTAAATTCATTAAATACAAATATCAAACTGAACAATGTGATTTTATTAATTGAAAACTGCATTGAATTATCAACATATTCTAATAATTCAATATGTAGTTTATCTGCTTCCCGATTAACAGGCAACGTAATTAATAAATATATTGATGGTATGTTCATAATTAACTTTTTTTAGTAACAATGTATAAAAACTAATTATTATTTTAATATTGGATTTTTAGGTGATGAACATGATTTCCTACTAGATAAATTTAAATTAAATTTAGAAGTCATTAAATTTATCAATATGAATAATGTTATCATTCAAACTATCCTGGATCACTACGTCTTTATCTCTTAAAGGTCATAGGAAACTGCGACAATGGATTGACTGGGTAATAGAAAAATAATTATTTAACTGATTAATGTTTACCTAATATTTTATTTTTAGTCATTGAATTTATTGGCAGACCCTTTGTATGGGAAGATGATGACACAATGCTTTAAAATGTTAACACAATCAGATGATGGATATCTAAATAAAGAGTGTTTTTGTTCAGTAAAGTTAGTACTTTTATAAAACATACCTTAGTAATTGGTATTTATTACTATTTAATATCTTAATGTATTATTAAAAGAAACTAGGCAACTCACTTTACTGTATAGACCAGCGGTTCCCAAACTGTTTAGGCTCGCAGTGCCCTTTTTGAACTACGTTTTTCTAAGGTCACCCTTCCCGAGTAATTCATCTTCTCTCAGCATAACGGTCCCTGTAGGACTTGAGCTGCCACAAGAAATATTCTCCATCTTTCCCTGTTCAATGCCAGGCCAATTGACACAATTCTTCCCAACAATTTGATATCATCAATTTCTCTACCACATCCTTCCATCTTGTTCGTGGTCTGCCTATTGGCCTTTTCTTATGTATGGTCTCCGTTAATACTTTTCTTATGATATCATTATCACCTCTCTATATTTGCCCAAACCATTCTATTCTCTTAATTTTTATATATAATAAAATATTGGTTTTCCATATAGTCTATATAGGTTGACATTTTTTCTTCTTTCGAATGTTCCTAACTCTGTATTGTATATTGGGCCAAAAATGTTTCTAAGTACCTTTCTTTCGAGTATTGCCAGTCTGCTATTGCTTACCATTGCATACCATTGTAAATAGAAAATAAAAATTTAAGTATAGTGGAAATAATTCAAGTTTTTACAATTAATATTTTTAGAATTTCAAAATAACTTATCTTTTGTGTAAAGATTATTGTAACATCCCAATTTGTTAAAATTTAAACTTCAATTGTTTATAAAAGTTTATGCCTATGCACTTTTGATAATATTTATAATTTGCTATAAAAAACCCTTTTCCCGATTATATTCATTTAGGTACTGGGACTTTTCACTTTTATCCCCAAAGTACAAACTATACTCCATTCACATTAAGAAGGAACGTCAGCGGCCACCAGTTTTCGTCTGGGGGGTAAGCAACACCTGTTTATCATCCCCACTGATCTACAATCTATGTGGTTAAGCCGTGCCCCTGCGCACAAATTGGCCGCCAAGGTTCCGTCTTGATGAGAATGGTCAGAATGTAGTATAGATCCTACCAGAAACCACCCTTAATATTGAAAAATATATGATTGTTAACCACTACATTCTTTGGAGCAATGCATCCAAAATATATTATTATTTTAAAAATTATTTTGTTTTAGATTGTTATACAGACAAAGAATATTCTGTTATGTTATTGAACCACTCATATGTAAGTATAATACATCGCCTGAATCTGTTAAAGAAAATTATCTCATTAGTATTTTATACCAAATGGATGGTAATTCATATGTGACTCTTTCACCATATTTTTCAAAGGTAATCTTAAAAATGTTTAATATTAATAATTGTTTATAATATTACTGTTACAACTTACAAAAATAGTTTATTAAATAAATTATATTTTTACATTAATACAAATACCTTGTGTTATATAGTGTAGACATATGATAATTTAGTGGATACATATTTTTTTATATATATTCATGAATGATTTATTTATTTTGTCTATTAAACAATTTAATTATTGCAGATATTACCTCTATTACTTCAACTTTTATCTCCAGAAGAAGTTTATGTCTTACAGTCGTTGCAAACTTTTTGTAATCTATTAGAATCCAAGACTCCAGTATTGGAAGATTATTTGCAATCTTTTGTTCCAAAATTGCTAAACCTATCTCAAAGTTCAAAGTATATGAATATAAGAATAGTAGCTTTACAATGTCTTTACAACTGCTGTGACTATTCATTAATCAAACTTTTACCCTTAAAAAGACAGGTAATAATCCACAAAAATTACAAAACAGTTTATTGAAATATTACAAATAATGATTATTTTTAGGTTATTTCTGAACTGTCAAAATGCTTGGATGACAAAAAACGATTGGTTCGAAAAGAAGTGGTTAGAACAAAATCTCGATGGTTGTCCATAGATGTAGTAAATGATGATGATTAACATTGTACACATTTAATTAATGTTAACTGTTATAATATGTTGTCAGGAAATGTATGTTCAGATTGTTGAATTTAATGTTGCCATTGGATACATTTTTTACTTAATTAGCAAAATATTGATATTTGTTTTCAATTAAAATATACTTAGAAATAAATAATCACTAATTATTGTTAGATTAATTATAATTGGAATGAATTTAAAAATACTATCAGATTTAAAGTATTATAGTTTTAACTGTTGGTAGATGAACGCATTAAAAATTTTGTTAAATGTATAAGACAGTCTCTCGCTAGCAGTCCGACAGTGCGCACTCATTTCGTTGCTTCTCTCAGTTCTCTCGGATTACGCTCCATGGTCTTACTTTTGTCTCGTACGACTCTTCTTCTCCATCAACGTTTTACCAGGGGTCAATCCACACATTACGGGAAGAGCTACCTCCTCAAATCCAGTAATATAACTTTTTACTAGTTCTACGTAGTTTCTAAATATGACAAGTATTTTCTGCTGCGTAACAATCACAACGTTATATAACTACGTAAGGTCACCGTTTCGTGCGGCGACCTTTGGACCTCAGATAACAACAAACCTGCGATATGCCAAACCCAAAGCCAACTGTATCCCCAATTAAGATCCTGAAAAATAAAATTGTTACTAGTAACAATGAAAATAAAAATAAATGTTCCCTTTCGTCATCGTCCTCCTCACCATCGCAATCACCACCTATCGTAATTTCTAAGAAAATTAAACTTTTCTTTACGCCAAACCGGTTCGCACCACTCTCCACGGATGACAACGATATCACCGCCGATAATAATGCTGAAATCGACGGTCAGAGTCTTCAAATCAGGGGCAACAGAATACCACCGATGTTGCACCTAAAATCGTTTTGCCTCCACCCATATTCATCAAAGGCGTCCATGACTACCTTGGACTACGCAACCACTTAACACAAGTCTCTGCCCCTGACAGTTTCTCGTGCAAATCAACCACTACTCACTTCAAAATCCAAGCAGACACTCTTAACAGCTACAGAAATATAAATCAGCCACAATCTGATAAGGTTAGTTATCAGAAACCTCCATGCCTCTACTTCGGAGGCTGACATCGCATCCGCAATAGAAGAAATTGACCACACTGTAAGAAATGGCACTAATGTCAGACACCAACAAACTAAAACACCTCTACCTCTCTTTTTTGTCGACTTAGACCCAAACGACAGTGATAGCGATATTTTCTCCATAAACTCTCTTTTGCACACGAAAATCAAAATTGAAAAACCGTACCAAAAGCGACGAATACCACAATGCCAAAACTGCCAATCCTATGGCCACACCCGCACCTACTACGCTCACAACCCTATGTGTGTCAAATGCGGTGGAAAACACCTCTCTACCACCTGTCCAAAATCTCCAGATCTACCGGCCAAATGCGCCCTCTGCGAAGGTGAGCACCCAGCCAACTGTAAAGGTTGTACAGTATACAAGCAACTGACTCGCAAGCACAACAACTTCTCAAGTAAGAAATCTCAACAACCACTGCCTTTCAACTCCGCCGTCAACGTCGAACAATCCCAACAGCACCCCCCAGCTACTGAATTCTCGTCCAAGCCACAGCCACGTTCGTATGCAAATGTAACTGAGGAGTGAGGGTCACCTACCTCCCAAACCTATGTCTTCTAACAACAACGAAATCGAGCTTCTTAAATTCTCAACGAGTTCAAATCCATACTAAACCCTTTTATAGTACTCCTCACCACTGTCCTCTCAAATCTCACTAATATTAATAATGCCAAGTAATCCTACATCCAAGTCTCTCCTCATCCTAACCTGGAACTCAAATGGACTCGCAAACCACAAAAATGAAATTTTAGCTACACTCAAAAATAATAGGATTGATGTAGCACTCATTTCTGAAACACACTTCACTAATTCTTCAAACTTTTATTTACCTGGATATCAAACTTTCAAAACCAACCACCCAGATGGCACAGCTTACGCTGGAGCCGCTATCATAGTGAGATAATCACTGATCTTCTACCCTCTTCCCAACATCCAAACGCATCATATTAAAGCCTGTGGTATATCCTTAACACTAAATAATACACCTATTAACATCTATGCAGCTTACAGTCCTCCTCGCCATACTATAACCCATAACCAACTTGATGACTTCTTCAACACCCTTGGACAACAATTTATATTAGGGGGTGATATTAACGCAAAACACATACAATGGGGCTGCCGTACAAATAATCCTCGTGGTAATTTCAAAAATATATATAATAGGTTATATTATAATATAAAAAGAATACTTATTAAAAAGTTAAAAACTATTTAATTTAAATAATAATTTATGAATCGTTATATTAAAATTACATCAATATTTATACAGTCCAGGAGTTACAAAAGAAATGGAAATCATTCAGGGATAGTTATCGATGAAAATGCGTTACAAAATCTGGTCAGACAAAGAAAAACAAAACAAATATGCTTCTGATAAAATATTGAAGTTTTTACGACCCACAATGCAAAATCGTGTGTAAGCATAATTTATAATTAATTTAAAAATAACAAATGGATCTATTAGAGATTAACCTAAACGATACAGATACTTAATAATTTCAATATTTTTGTATTATTTTGTAATTTGAATTTTTAACTCAAAATAATTTGCACATTTTTGTGATTTTTACGTATTTTGTCAAAGTTTGAACGTGAAATGCTTATAAAAAGTAATTGTGAGGATAATGTTGAAGAAAATCTAATAATTTTTACTGTCCATAAGGTGATGGCAGACACAAAAAAAAATTAAATATAGAAAAACACACATTGTAAGATAATTACATGAATTTCCAATAAAAATTCAATATCGTAAACATTTTAGATTTAAACATTTATAAATAATTTGTTACTTCAAGGTAAACCATTTTTTAGGTTCTGAGTGGAGCTATGAATGTATTTATGTTAAGATGATATGTTTTTGTATTTTTTTTTTTGTGTCTAAAAATTTTCAAAATATTTTTTGACTCGTTTTGAGCTATTTACAGACATTTTCAGTTTTCAATTTTTTTAGTTTTTTTTTCTATTATTCTCACTATATTATATAGCCACTCCGTCGTGTGCCGTATTATCAGGATGATTTGTATTGGTTAAATTATATCCTGGGATATATGTTTTGGAATAAGTAGTGAAGTGAGTCTCAGAAATTAGGGCAATGTCAATTCGTTTGTTGTTTAATACTGTTTTGAGTTTCGATTTTTATTTACTTTATGAAGGACGTTAATTACTTGACCACGAAGAGTCGAAGTTCCAACTCTTCTTTTATAGTTTTAATCGGTGTGGAAGGATGTAAATTACGTATAACTATTCTTAAAGGTTTATCCTCTCTGAGTTGATAAATATGATATTCAGCTTCTTCCTCTTTGATAAAACGAATTTTGAGTTCTGCATGACTCTGGGTTTTAGGTTTGGGTTCTTATAATTTGTCAGCAGATGATTTACGGATAAAGTTATCTATCCCAATATTTTCGATGAGTTTTTTTCAAATTTCAGGAAAATCTGCAATACCTTTTACGAAGACTGGAGGTGGTGGTTTGGTAGGTACCAATCGGTGTCAATTAGTTCGGTGTTGAGAGTGGGTGAGTTTGTGGGCGGAGTTACTTCTTGATTTTGATTTTCATCTTGAATCAGATTTGCGTAACGATTTTGTGTAACAAACATATTTTTTTTATTAGTTTATTTATCAGCATTGCTGGGTTTTTGGTGAAGTTCAGGGACAGAAGAGTTGGAGTGGTGTCTTTTATTGTTGTTGTTGTTGGTGGACTTCATCATGAATCGGTTATGTTGTTTTTTACTTTTCACAATTTTAATCGGAGTAATTGGACTGTGTTTGTTGTTTTGTCTTTTATTGCTATTCATTATGTCAATTAATATTAATTAAGAGCGATTGGAAATGTGGAATAATTTTAGTCAGAGACTGGCGATAGCTTCTGTAGGTAATTAGGCTTATCTTGACGGCAGCGGCAGCAACGACGTGCAAGTTAGCAAGATAGGATAATAAATTATTATTTATTATTGGAAAGCGAAGATGTAAAATGACATTTGTATTCACTTATTCACTTACTTAATTTGGGCGTAAAAGAGATGTTTTTACTCTATTTTTACGTAAAGAAAAAAAGATTTGGAAGTTGAACGGACGTTTTCACGTAAATATATTGTGTGGTAATAGAAAAAATAAAAATTTAATAATTTAAATTAATTAACGGGATAATTAATTAATTTCGAGAGCGCATAGTACCCGTGCGAAAAAAACAGCTGCTATCTCGAGACTAAACTAAAATATGATGTGTTTTTTTTGTTTCTGTAGGTAATCACTTTTTAGTTTTTAGAACAGTAAAATGTTTTCGATTTTGAACTTTAAGAATGATTTGTGGTAGGTAGTTAATATTGGTACTAGTTATTAATTTGAGCGGTAAAAAGTAAAAACTTTTTATTAATTTTCAAAGTAACCGGAAAAAACGGGAATTTTACGCAAAACCAGTATTCAAAATTAATTTTATTTTTTTGTCGTAACTTACTCAAAAACAAATTTGCTAGGCACATTAAAATACATATACATTTTTAACCTTTTTAGTGTCATGATTCCCAAAATAGGTTAAAAATGAACTGCGGAACCACTACCCCTTACGACAACCCACCCGCACCCCCTTCTTATATTAAAAACGAATTCAAGCTTTTATATGTTGTACCAATTACAAAATACACTATCTAGGTATCTAATACCTAGGTATATCACTATATTATTAAACATGATTGGTGTCGGAGCTGGTTTTTCAAATTTCCCTCAATTCCTTAAAATTAAAATTTTATATTTTATTTTCTACCCTCATATCCCGTCAAAATAGCGAAAATAAAATAACGATAAAAATAAACAATGTATAAATATGACAAAAATAATAATTGGCATAATTGTTATTTTTATATTTGCCATAATTTTTTATT